ACTACCCGGAAATGGTATCATCGACTCAATGGATGTGAGTTTGAGTAAATTCAAGGAGACAGTGAAGAACAGGGAAGCTTGGAGTGCTGCAGTTCATGGGGTCGCAAAGGGTAGGACACGTCTGAGCAACTGAACAACAATAAAATATCAAACACCGAGAAAAAAAAACTCAGTAAAAAATTATCAGTGACCTTAGGAAAACTTCAAATGGCCCAGCATACATGAAATTGGAGACTCCCAAGGACAGAAGGCAGGAAGGACAGAAAAAAAAAATAATGACCAAAACTTTACCAAAATTAATAGAAAACTATAATCCTAGTTTACAACAGCTCAATGAACATCAAGAACAAAAACAAGAAATATACAAAGGCCACGCCATAAGCAAATGGCTTAACACCAGTGATGAGATCTCCACTTTGGCAGCAGCAGTTGATTGTAGTACAGTAGGTGATTCTCCATTCAGTTCAGTTCAGTCTCTCAGTCGTGTCCAACTCTTCGTGACCCCGTGCACCACAGCACACCAGGCCTCCCTGTCCATCACCAACTCCCGGAGTCCTCCCAAACCCACGTCCGTTGAGTCGGTGATGCCATCCAACCATCTCAAACTCTGTCGTCCCCTTCTCCTCCCACCTTCAATCTTTCCCAGCATCAGGGTCTCTTCCAGTGAGTCAGCTCTTCTCATTAGGTGGCCAAAGTATTGGAGTTTCAATAGGTGATTCTAGTTTCCACTTTTTTCCCCCTACGTTTTCAGAACTAGCATCACTGCACCTCCCTGCCCCCACCCACCCTGGAGGTAAACTGTCCAGAATCATCTCCCTCTTCTTGGAGCTTCCATGCCAGGCCTCCAGGGGTTCTCTCCTCTGTGTTTGTGAGGCATCAGCCCTGACGCTAGACAGTGCTTCTTCTTCAGTGGTCTGCGTCCACGCTCCCAGGGCCCTTCCCTTCTTCAGACTTCTAAATGCTGGCAAACCCAAACTCCTTCCCTGTGCAACCCTAGCCCAAGGGGCAGGGGCTGCTTCCTATTATTCCCACCTCTGTGATGTCACAGTGTTCTCTTTTTGCCTGTTTAACCAATTCCTTTTGTTAAATACTATTTAAACAACAGAGAAAGATGACTGCATCTTCTTGGGTAAATGAATAAACATTTATGTGTATGCTTATATATTTTTACTTTATTCTTGTTGCTCCCACTAATGTAATCTCACGGAAAGACTTTGCCCGTCTTTTCACTATGATACTCACAGCATCAGAACCATTTCTGATACATAGGTGGATAAATATATAAAACTTTACAAGTTGGATGTTTGCTATAAGAGGTTATAGAATCCAATTCAAACTAAGACTGCAAAGTGGAGGTAGACAGAGACAATTTAAGTTGGGCCAGGAAGTTCATTTTTACAAAGATCTAACCATTTAACAGTTCATTTTACAAAGATTTATTGAGCATCTACTATGCATCAGACACTATAGCAGAAATATTTTTTGATCATTTTATAGAATTTCAAAGATGTATAAAAGAGTGTATATGTAAGCTAAGTAGCCAGAGTTGAAACAGGTTGGTTATTGAGCTGTTCTCTGAGTTTCAAATCTACCCCCTTTAGTCTCAGCTTTGTGATTTGGGGCTTTGCCAGGTGGGTGACCAATAGATTCTGCCACAGGGTCATAAGAAGCTAGACAGGGAACAAGGGACTTGCTTCCTGCTGTTTTGCTTCCTGTTCTGTCACCATCACCTAAATAATGGCTCTCCACTTTGTAAGTAGCAATTGGTTCCCAGTAGGTTCCAGTGTCTCCCAAGAGCAGCCTCCTTGTTCTTCTCCCTGCAGAAATCCCAGTTTCAGCTGCCTGGCCTGCTATCCTTAAATATCTGAGTCCCAGCTCCATGGATTTGCCCAACTATTTTATTTCTTTTTACTTTTTATTGGAGCATAGTTGTTTTACACTGCTCGGCCAGTTGCTACTAACAGCAAAATGAATCAGCTATACATATACATACACCCCCCCTTTTTTTGGATTTACTTCATATTTAGGTCACCACAAAGCACTGAGCAGAGTCCCCTGTGGTATATAGTAGGTTCTTGTTCTCATTAGTTATCTATTTTATACATACTGTCAATAATGTATATGTTTCAATCCCAGTCTCCCAATTCATTCCCATCCTCCTCTTTCTCCCTTGGTATCCATACATTTGTTCTCTATGTCTTTGTCTCTATCTCTGTTTTGTAAATATGATCATCTATACCTACTTTTCTAGAACCCACAGACATGTGTTAGTATATGGTATTTGTTTTTCTCTTTCTGACTTTATCCCACTACTGGGCATACACCCAGAAAGTGAAGTGAAAGTCGCTCAGTCGTGTCTGGACGTTTGGTACCCCATGGACTATACCCATGGGATTCTCCAGGCCAGAATACTGGAGTGAGTAGCTGTTCCTTCTCCAGGGGATCTTCTTGACCCGGGGATCAAACTGGTGTCTCCTGCATTGCAGGCAGATTCTTTACCAGCTGAGCTACCAGGGAAGCCCATACTCCCAGAGTAAACCATAATTCAAAGAGATACATGTTCACTGCAGCACAATTTACAACAGCCAGGACATGGAAACAAACTAAATACCCATCAACAGAGCAATGGATAGAGACGGTGTGGTACATATATACAATGGGATTTTACTCAGCCATAAAAAAGAATAAAACTGGGTCATTTGTAAAGACGTGGATGGGCCTATAGACTGTCATACAGAGTAAACTATTGTTTTTTCCAGCTGAATTATTTTCTGAATTCCTAAGGCAACAGCACCAGTTAGGCTGTGCCCCTCTTCTGGGAGGTCTGTTTATTTACCAGTGATGGGAACTTTTCTCCCAATTTCTCATTCCAGTAACCTAACTCCTCAGATGTCTGGATCAAATTCTCCCTCCAGCTTTTCAATTCCATGAATTCCAACTCTTCTCTTTGTCGCCACCATCCTGAAGGAGGTAAATACTTCCTGAAATTACTACCTCTGTGATATTTTCCTTTGGAATTTTATAGCATAAAGACATAAATCATACCAATTCTTTTCGAATCAGATTATACTACACTACACACAGGTTATTTTAACTTTCCTATCCTAATTTCTTTTGTCTTATCTCTACATTTTCAGAGATTTTCCATAAGGGCTAAGTTATAAATGTGCATCAGGAAACTTTCTGGCAGTCCAGTGGTTAGGACTCTGTGCTTCTACTGTGGGGGTAAGATGGGTTCAATCCTCAGTCAGGGGATTAAGGTCTTGCATTCCATGTGGTATGGCCAAAAAAAATTTTTTTTATTAAAAAATTAAAAACATTTAAAAATAAATAAGCAAATAATTAAAAAAATAAATACATATGCATCCATGCTTAGGAAATGGGAAAGATATACAATAACTATTATTCTAATGTTTGTCTCACTTTGTCTGAGGGACAGTGCTTTGGGGGAGCTAAGAAACGGAAAACAAGAGGCTCTCATATCCCTCATGATTTGGGGAAAATTAACCTCTAGGAAGCTAATCCTCCTCACCTATAATATACAACTCAAAGGTTATTATAGCTCTCTAACAAGGCTTCATATGGCAGCACTTCATAATCATAAATGCAGAGTGTAAGTTTGTTTCTACTACTGGGATCAACTGGACTTGATGGTTGAAGAAAATGTGATGAAATAAAAGAGGTGGAAGGAAGAGAAACAATTGAAGAAAGTAATATAGAGCAGTTTTTACCCACTCAGAACTTCACTGGAAATCAGTTTAAAAGGGAAAAAAAAAAGTGGGCCTCTGTTTTCCCCATTCCACTCAACCGTAATCCCCATTCTTCACACCAAAGATCCCTTTTGCCAATGAGACAGAAGCCATTTATTAACATACAGCAAATACTGTTTATTGCAGACTTTCCAGCTGACTCATGTGAAAAAGGCACTATGAAAATTAATGAATCTAGATAATCTCTCTAAATGGGTTTATGTTAAAATATACAACATTCTTACATAACATCTGTTTTATATATGTGAAATAATATAACATTTAATGACAAAAATCATGTTTCCAAAAATAACTTTGTTGAAGGTTAGGTCTCTTTCTTTTCTCTACCTAGAATCTTTCACAGGATCAAAATATGTGTGGATTATTTCTTATTACCAGAAAAACTTGACACGGATAAACACATAAGATGGCCCCAATCTGCTTTTAACTACGTTTATCAATATTTAGGACTGAGGCCTTCATTAAGCAAAATACTGTAACACACACCAATGCAGGCTATTTCCTGTGACAGATTTTCAATGTATGTGACCTCTTTTACACTTGTGCTTTCTTAATATATAAGAACATGGAATAGATAATAAGCAGAATATAAACTAAATCAAAATACAAGCTATACAAGGAATTGTGAGCAACAGAGCCATGACAAATAAAATGTCTCAGGAATGTTCCAAAGGTTTCTATTTGTATGTCCAAGGCCTTGTTGTACTTTACAGTTCATTAAATGTTTCAATTTTTTTTAAAGTGTTGGCATTAAGAACTTTAAATAAATCTAAATAGTCTATATGTCCAAGAAGAGATCTAAGTAAGCAGAGACTAGTCTAAAGTAAGCTACCTGGATGATACACAACATAGTCACAGGCAAAACTAAAAATATTTAGATTTTGAATCACGGGCAAATCTATCTTTTTGTTTTGCTGCAATAAATAAATTCACCACTGTCAAAAAAATTTGCTTATGCATTGAGACTGAGATGAAATAATTAATCCATTAAAGGAAACCTCACCTTGGTCGAGTACACAAAATATTTCCCAAGGTCAAAACTTCTGCTTAAAATTTTTAATTTTAATAAAAATAATGGGCCCAGAAACAAGTCCTCTGCTTACTTAGGTTTGCATTGTTTCTCTATGGCGATAAATTCTGTATACCAAGAAAGAAGAATCTGACATTCCTTTCATGGCTTCTTGAAACAAAGCATGGTGGAAACATGCCAAGAATAATGGGGTTTTGAAACTAATTAGTGATGCTTCCCTCATCAAAAGACTCCACTCCTGAGTCGCTTGCAGCAGCACTGATTTTTTCCTGTCGTCTTCGCATGATTTCTTGCAACTCAGAGCTGCCGCTGTTATCCTGAAAAACAAACATGGTTCAGACAAGATGGTTACTGGTTTGTGAGGCTGCAGATCATATAATGAAATGGCTCAGGCTAAAAGTTCTTTGTGTTTTTCTTCTCACGTCTCTTGGCGGGGAACTGAAGGCTGCCCTTCACCTAAGTGATGAGTTGGACTTCACTAACCTCACTTTTTCACTTATAGTGTCTAAAGACCATTCATTCACCATGCTTTCACTTGAAGATGTTAAAGGTAAATCAGCAATGCATGTGGAATGCTTTAGATTCCCTGGGAGAAAGAAGAGATTGTACAATAAGTACAAAAGGATGGTAATTTATCAAAGAATGCTCTTTAGGTCAAGCAAGATATTCATCTATCTGCTATAGGGGATTCTAAATCAGGCCCAAAGACTGGGCTCAGAAAACACCAAGCTTCCCCACACCAAAGGGTTCTGACCATCTGACATCTTGTTGGTTTTTGTCCTTTTGAAGTCTGACCTACAACCACTATGCACCCACTATAATCCTCTCTGATCTATAGAAGTCTCTGGCGACACAGGTGAGTAAATAATGAACTAGATACAAGAGAAGGGCATGATGGGAAGGTGCCTGGGGAAGATGAAGAACCTCAGGTAACAAGTCTCTGCCTCCATTCACAACCAGAGGAAGAGGAACAAGAGGCCAGGAGGACATGGGCAGTCAGGGAAAATGATAGCAATAGGGAGTCTGGACTGAAGGAACTCAGAAGTGTTAGGATTATGGAACTTACTTAACCCGTAGGGAGTAATTTACACATTCTCAATAAAATCAGAATGCATAATCGTAACTAAACAGCCTGAGGAAAAATATAATCCTGATTCATATTCAACAGACAGTAAGCCTAATATAGGACTAAGCAAGATCAATGTGGTAGGAAAATTTTCCAAGGGAAATATTTCTCCCGACTGAGAATGGCTACAGGGTTGCATGCACAAGGCTATTTTAGTACGTTATTTAACTGTTGAATTTATACAATATACCTGCTAGAGATAATTGTGTATTGATTTCACATCAAAGCCTATATCTTTTCATTTGATTCTGAGTTTAATTTTTCACGAAAGCTATTAAGATCTGAGAGATGTAACAGTTAGAAACTACTACCCTTACACAGTCCATGTTAAGTAGAGGAGGATATTGGAAGCTTAAGTATATCCAATCTAGAAAAAATTTACTCTCCTGCTTTCATAGAAACAACTAAGGAACTACTCTTCAGGGCTCTGTTTCCAATGGTCCCTACCTAATATTTTCCCTCTGATTATTTATATGTATAAGCATCTGGTGGGCTGCCATCTATGGGGTCGCACAGAGTCGGACATGACTGAAGTGACTTAGCAGCAGCAGCAGCAGGCTTATCTGATAGCTCATTTGGTAACGAATCTGCCTGCAGTGCAGGAGACCTGGGTTCAATCCCTGGGTTGGGAAGATCCTCTGGAGAAGGGAAAGGCTACCCACTCCAGTATTCTGGCCTGGAGAATTCCATAAACTGTATAGTCCATGCGGTTGCAAAGAGTCAGACTGAGCAACTTTCACTTCACTAAGCAGGCCTAAGGCACACAGCCACGGTTTTAACACTTTATAACCTCAAACCTGGGTTTCCCTGGTGGCTCAGTGGTAAAGAATCTGCCTGCAGTGCGGGAGGCCTGGGTTCAATCTCTGGGTTGAGAAGATCCCCTGAAGAAGGAAAGGGCAATCCACTCCAGTATTTTGCCTGGAAAATCCCATGGACAGAGGAGCCTGGTGGGCTGCAGTCCATGGAGTCACAAAAGAATCAGACACGACTTAGGAACTAAACAACAGCAATCTCTAACTTGCTAGAATCTACAAACTAAACATTAAGGATAGGCAAAAATGTTTTGGCCTCTTAGGTCATTTATCCACTTGAAGTAAATGAATAAATAAAATTCCTACAGAAGTAGTTAGCACATATAAAATGAAAGCATTAGGCTTTTTAGTAGACATCCAAAAATACATGAAGTTCAAGTTTCATTCTGCAGGCACACTTACAATAAATTAATCTCCCTAAAAGTGGTCACTGATGACGCCAGTAACAGATTATTAAACCTGATTCAAGCTGAATTCAGCTCTGTATGAAAGGCAAAGAGAGTGACCAATAGGGACACAAACATTATTTCCAGAGCTTTCAAACTGCAGTCCACCCTCATGACTAATATAGAAAAACACCATCTTAGGTTGGGAAGTCATACCTCTAATGCAGCTTTCTGAACAGTGATTTGGCTAAAGACTCTGGCCCCTTCTGGGCAGACGGTTCTCAGTTCATCTTTATTGAGAGAGAAAAGTTGTGCACCATTTAATACTCCAAGACTATTAACAGTCCTGAGAAAACAAAAGAAAGAAAAGAAAAAAACAGAGCATTAAAAATACTGCCTGGACTTGTGGTGGCCGAGGGGCAGGGACGAACCAAGAGTCTGGAGTTGGCAGATGCAAACTATTATAGATAGGATGGGTAAGCAACCAAGTCCTACTGTACAATACAGGGAACTATAGTCAACATCGTGGGGTAAACCATGTGGAAAAGAATGTATATAGATGCATAGCTGAGCCACTTTGCTTATAGCAGAAATTAACACGACACTGTAAATCAACTATATTTATATAAAAATTAATTACAAATACACACATACATATATACAAACTGTCTGGAAAAAACAAAAGGAAAATTTCTGGTCTTCTACAGTCTCCCTTCTCTAGGTGTTCTAACTGCAAATCATAAATGGTACTAGAGTGCTTAGGGCAATGACAGCGGGCTAGCTTTATAGTGACCTTGAGGTCATTATCACTAATAATAGGATCACTAATCATGAACTATCAAAAAAGAGCTATCTGGGTTTATTATTCTTATTATGTTGTAGCAATTCCTTGAAATGTGGTGTTTTGTAGAAGGAATAGATAACTTTCTAGCAGTCAGGCAACTGACTAACCAGTGTACCTCATTCTTTTCAGTAATAGGTGAGTTTGCAATGTGCCAGGTTCTCTCGAATATGTATTGTTCAAAGAGTTCAAATACATGTTCAAATATGTGTACCAAATATACACAAAATACTGACGATTTTTGAATAGAAAAACAGAAACTTCACTATGGATTTCCAAAAGGAAAAGCTCTATTAGGTTATAACCCATGATAAGTAATGTCCTCTATTTTTTTATTTGCTTGGGATCTATATGCTGCGGCGGGAGCAAAGTTTCTGCTCTCTGTCCTCTGTGGCCTAGGGAGTCAAGGCTAAGACCACAGTCCACACAGGTGACCTTCTGAAGGATAAAGACAGCTGCTAACAGGCTGCTTTAGAACCCAATGATGAACAGACACCACCATCTAGAAAATGGGGTGCCGACAAAAGACAGCTACTTCTGCTTCTTGCAATTCTTTTTTTAACTATAAATGACTAGAGTCATTTCCTAAGTATAACAGATGCAGCTTGGGTTCTCACATTTTCTAGGAATCACTTGTGCATCTTAGTGATCAAACTGAAAACACCGCATGCTTTACACACAGAACTGTAAAGGGTCCCCAGAGAGACTTACACAGGGTTGAAGCCCTTTGACTGCAACCAGGTCTTCACCTCCTCTGGGGTGGAGTCATAAGTGATATTGACAACTGGCACATTCTGCCGTGGCACATGGAACTTCTTCTGGGCGGCGCTCCGACCAATGGTCAGTCTGTGGATAAGTTCATCCTGCACTTCCTCCATCTGAGATTTCCTCCCTAGATACCAACACAGAGGAGGTTATTTTTTTTGAAAGCCCCAACAACTCACTCTCTCTAGAACTCCAAAGCCAACCATCTTTTGACCCCAGCAGGGCTGACAATATAGTATTCCTCCTATCTTCCCATTCATTCTCACCAAGCATAAACTTCATGATCATTTATTAAAATCACTCCCTGTTTCTTCTCTGTCTTCACTGTATGCATTTGGCAAGACCCCCACCCTTGTTAAATCTCACTTTCTTATTCTGTGCTGCACCTGCACACCGAATAGAACACAACAGTGCTGAGTGAGCTCATGTTAAATTCATGATCATGCACCTCCACTGGGTAGTTAATGCTCCCTGATAATCACACTACATTTCCTGAGGCCAGTGGTTTTCAACTGGGTGGGGGATTTTGACTCCAGGGGACATCTGGCAACAGACAGAGACACTTGGAAGATGTCACAAATGGGGGTCGAGAAAGAAGGAAGCTACCATCATGCAGTGAGTAGAGGCCTGAGATGACAAGACAGGCTGCAATCCACGCAGGTCAGTCTCCTACAGCAGAGAATCATGCAGCTTCAAACGTCCACAGGGCTCAAGGTGAGAAATCCCACCCTGGACCATGCAATTGCCTGCTGTTAGACAAACATTGCCTGTGTTCTTCCTTCTGTGAACCTCCCAGCACCCAGTCTCCAATCCTTACCCTGAGCTGATGATCTCATTTTCATCATTCCTGAGTAAAATAAAGAAGTTAAACTGAGATCCCTAAGTTTCCTTAGCAGCTCTCCCCACTAAGATTCCCTAGTAGCTCTCCTCACCACCAGCACCACCAACACCTTCTCTGTACACTCTGCCAGCTGTCCTTCTATTACATTACAGACAAGTGACCCCACAGTCCTCAGGCAGCCCCTCTACAAGTGCACTAGACCCCATGGCCTCTGTCGATTTAAATCCTCCGACAGTAATTTCCCCCCGCTTCTTCCATGTTATCCATTTTCCTCTTTGACTGAATCATTTCAGCCAATTAACATGCTATTATTTTGTTACTTCTCTCACATTTAAATAAGACCTTTTTTAATTAAGATTTTTAAGTGGACCATTTTTAAAGTCGTTACTGAACTTGCTGCAACATTGCTTCTGATTTTATGTTTCGGTTTTGTGGCTGTGAGGCACATGGGATCTTAGTTAGCTTCCTGAGTGGGGATCAAACCTGCAACCCCTGCATTGGAAGGTGAAGTCTTAACCAATGGACTGCCAGGGAAGTTCCTAAATAAGCCCTTTCTTAATCCCATGTCCCCTCTCAGCTACTGCCTATTTCTCTGCTCCCCTTTTAGCAAAACTAGAAAAACTGTCCAGACTAGCCTACTCAAACTCCTGTTCTTCAATTTCCTCTTAAATTCACTGCAATTAGGCTATTAGTGTGCCTCTCCACATCATTTTGCTAAGCTCCAATGGTTGATTCCCAGTCATTTACTTATGCCATCCATCAGCAACATTTGAAGAAGGCAACTCCTCCTTGAAACACCTTCTTATGGCCTTCAGGACACACACACGCTCTGATTTTCATCCTGTCTCACAGGCTTCAGTATCCTATTCTCAGAATTGTCTCATCTCCCTAACTCTCCAGGGCTCAGTCCTTAGACCTCTTTTCTTGATGCACTCTCTGCACCAATGATCATTGTGGGTGGTTTCATGGCTTTAAACACCATTTAAAAGCTGGTGACTACCCAAATTATTTCTGCAGTCCAGGCTGGTCCTCAGAACTCTAGACTCATATTACACCAACTCTCTACTTGATATATTCATTTGGATGTCTACTAGATATTGCAAATGTAACGTGTCCATATTAGAATGACTCATCTTCTCCTGAAGCTTGCTTTTATGCTAGACTTTCCAACTTAGCTGGGAATTCTATTTTTCAGTTCCTCCAGTAAAATACCATTGAGGTATGCCTGATTCCCCTTTGCCCTCAATTACATCCAATCTGCTGGCAAAACTTGTTGGTCCTACCATTAGAATATGCCACACATCCAACCACTTCACTCCATTTTTTCTGTTGCCAGCTTGGTCTGATCCACCAGCCTGTTCACAGATCTCTCTGCTGCTTCTCTCCATGACCCCACTCTTTGTTCTTCATTCTTTTTCTCAATACAACAGCTAAATTTATCCTTTTAAAATCTGAGTCAGAGACATACACATACATATTTGTCATATATCACCTTCAAGGATTAAGCACAAAGAACTGATACAGTAATCCAATTTAACTAAGTTCGCAAGTGACAGTGACCTGCTCACTAAGCAAGCTTTTGTGACCACTCTCCTGATTCTTTTTTTCAGGAAGAATATTTCAGAAAGTATTTGGTGTCTCTGGGAAATAAGTGAAAGTGTGAAATAATAAGATAGTGTTATTTTAGCCTAATTTATTTTTTTATTCCTCAAGTACCCAGGAAAGCTTTTGAAGAAAAAAGAAGTCAAAAGAAAGAGAAATAAGTGAAAGGAAGAGAGGGAAGGAGGGAGGATGAGAAGCTAGAGAGTGAATATTACCAATGGTTACATTTAGCTAATACATGGCATGCATTTTATTAGTTAACTCTTTTAAATCACTACAATTTAGTCACACTGCCATACAACAGAGGAGAACATCTCAAAGAAATAATAAAAAAAAGTATCACCACACTAAAAGATTTATTTCCTTATCTGTTGACTTAGCCACTGCAGGACCATCTCCAGTCTAAAGTATAACCTCTTTCCCAGGAATATAAAAACCTCTTGTGATGTATTCCTGGCTTTGGTTTCCACTTGCAATGTTCTAGCACATAACAACATACTAGACTAACTTTACACCTATCTCTAAAACACCACTTCTTATATTACTAAAGATTAAACTCAAATAAAAGGAGTAACATTTCAAAGGAAGCAGAAGACATGCAAAACAACTGAAGCATTGATCTCTTCAAAAGTGGGAAGAGGAGAGCCTTTTTGAAAATATGACGAATAGAACTGAATAGTTTATATGACAATAGAAAACAATAGAACGGGAAAGACTAGAGATCTCTTCAAGAAAATTAGAGATATCAAGAGAACATTTCATGCAAAGATGGGCAAAATTAAGGACAGAATTGGTATGGACCTAACAGAAGCAAAAGATATTAAGAAAGAGGTGGCAAGAACACACAGAAGAACTATACAAAAAAGATCTTCATGACCCAGATAACCATGATGGTATGATCACTCACCTACAGCCAGACATCCTACAGTGAGAAGTCAAGCGGGCTTTAGGAGGCATCACTACAAACAAAGCTAGTGGAGGTGACGGAATTCCAGCTGAGCTATTTCAAATTCTAAAAGATGATGCTGTTAAAGTGCTACACTCAATATGCCAGCAAATTTGGAAAACTCAACAATGGCCACAGGACTGGAAAAGATCAGTTCTCATTCCAGTTGCAAAGAAAGGCAATGCCAAAGAATGTTCCAACTACCACACAACTGCACTCATCTCACACGCTAGCAAAGTAATGCTCAAAATTCTCCAAGCTACTCTTCGACAGTAAGTGAACAGGGAAATTCTAGATGTTCAGGCTGGATTTAGAAAAGACAGAGGAATCAGAGATCAAATTGCCAACATCCACTGGACCATAGAAAAAGCAAGAGAATTCCAGAAAAAACATCTACTTCTACTTCATTGACTACACTAAAGCCTTTGACTGTGTGGATCACAACAAACTGTGAAAAACTCTTAAAGAGATGGGAATACCAGACCACTTCACCTGCCTCCTGAGAAATCTGTATGCAGGTCAACAGTTAGAACTGGACATGGAACAATGGACTGGTTCCAAATTGGGAAAGGAGTACATCAAGGCTGTATACTGTCACCCTGTTGATTTAATTTATATGCAGAGTACATCATGTGAAATGCTGGGCTGGATGAAGCACAAGTTGGAATCAAGATTGCTGGGAGAAATATCAATAACCTCAGATATGCAGATGACAACATCCTAATGGCAGAAAACAAAAAGGAACTAAAGAGCCTCTTGATGAAAGTGAAAGAGGAGAGTGAAAAAGTTGGCTTAAAGCTCAACATTCAGAAAATTAAGATCATGGCATCCAGTCCCATCACTTCATGGGAAATAGATGGGGAGACAGTGGAAACAGTGTCAGACTTTATTTTTTGGGGCTCCAAAATCACTGCAGATGGTGATTGCAGCCGTGAAATTAAAAGACGCTTACTCTTTGGAAGGAAAGTTATGACCAACCTAGATAGCATATTAAAAAGCAGAAACATTACTTTGCCAACAAAGGCCTGTATAGTCAAAGCTATGAATTTTCAGTAGTCATGTATGGATGTGAGAATTGGACCATAAAGAAAGCTGAGTGCCAAAGAACAGATGCTTTTGAACTGTGGTGTTGGAGAAGACTCTTGAGAGTCCCTTAAACGACAAGGAAAACAAACCAGTCAATCCTAAAGAAAATCAATCCTGGATATTCATTGGAAGGATTGACCCTGAACCTGAAGCTCCAATACTTTGGCCATCTGATGTGAAGAACTGACTCATTAGAAAAGACCCTGATTCTGGGAAAGACTGAAGGCAGGAGGAGAAGGGAATGACAGAAGATAAGATGGTTGGATGGCATCACCAACTCAATGGGACATGAGATTGTGCAAGCTCCGGGAGTTGCTGGACAGCGAAGGATAGTTGATGGACACTTGACGGACAGTGAAGCCTGGGGTGTCCTGCCTCTTTGTCTGACAAAGAGTCGGACATGAGTGAGCAACCTGAACTGAAATGAACTGAGCTCATATGACACAAGGCTCTAGCAGCTGGTTTGAATCAATGGACCTGTTGACTTTTTCTCCTTGTCCATGGCTATCTGGTAACATTTTTATGGGTGAGTATTCAAATTATAGCTCCTTCAATTTTATTCTTACCAGAAGTCTTATCAGACTTATCAGAGACCATATGCAGAGAACATAGGTAGCACAAAATATATATTTTGAAAGAAACCATGCTACCAATAAAGAAACATGTCTGTTTGCTTCGAAAAGACTGTTTAGAAGCCCCAACATTCATTCAGAATAAATGTTCTCCAAAAAAGTACTCACAAAGATAAAAAGTTATCAAGAGGATATTTGTTTTACAAAAGGGATTATCTTATTTAATGACAAACTATTTTCTGAGCTATCTTTAAAAGGAACATTATATAAGTAAATGTAGACTGTTGCTAGTTTAAGGAAACAAGTACAAGTGTAAATTTGGGGAGAGATGTTTATGTTTTACACGCCAATGTCACCCTTTTACTTATGAAAAACAGACTTAAAAACGACAAGTCACAATTATCAGGAGAGTTCTCTATCTTTAAAGAATTCTAACCATGCCTCTTTCCCATTAGGTTATTCTTAGTTTCTTAGAGTAGGACAAAGAACAAATTGTCCCAGCCCACAGACTGTTCCAAAATTGGGCCTGGATGTCTATGAACCCTGATCCCAGGCCTGGAAAAAAAAGTGCCACCGTGTCAAAGATTACTGCACTGACGGATCAGGGAAGGGGGATATTATAAACTGGTGGTAAGAAGGAAGAAACTCTCTGAGAGCAATGTTTTCCTTAGGGAAATCAACAAAGACATTTATACAACTTTCTCATCTCAAAACTATGTCTTTATTGTCTGAAAAAAAAAGAAAAGCAACCTTTTAAAAAATACACGGAAATGTAGCCATTTTAAAATTTAGTAGCCAATTATACACACACTCTCAACCACACATGCACACAGGCATAGTTATTTTTGCTGCACAGAAAAAGTTCGTCATTTTTCCAAAACTTCATTTTTCCATTAGTTTCTTTGGTAAGGTCAAGATATAGATAAGAAGGTAATTTAAACTTTACTATACTTCAGTTGAGAAAGTAATGTATAAAAGTAGGTTTGTGCTTATTGTATTTAGCCAGAATTTCTAGAACAATTAAACAGTAATAGTTTCAGTGTCTTCTTTTAAAAAAACTTTTAATTTATCATGAAGGACCACAATTGAATAGATGGGGCTATGATTTACTGAGATAAGAACCTGAATCTCAAGTATCTGATCCAGCTATAAAGTTAATAGTTCCAAGACATGTATCTGGATGTCAGAGATGAGATTTCACATGAAGATGAATCTTCGAGTTACTCCAACAGGATAAATAATGTTGAAAGTAAAGAAAATAGAGTGATCATCTACAGTAAAAGTATGTTTATATGAGCAAAGAACAGAATTCAGAACTAATTATATTAAGCTAGTGTGATTTTGTGTGTGTTTGTGTGTGTGTGTGTATACATACCATATATATGATAGGGATAGAGTAAAGGGACAAAAGAAAGTGAAAAGTGTTAGTCGCTCAGTCATGTCCAATTCTTCGTGACTCCACGAACTGTGGCCCATCAGGTTCCTAAGTCCAAGGAATGCTTCAGGTTAGAATACTGAAGTGGGTAGCCATTTCCTTCTCTAGGGTATCTTCCCTACCCAGTTGTCGAACCTGGCTTTCCCACATTGCAGGCTTTACCATCTGAGCCACCAAGGAAGCCAAGCAGGTGATTAAATAGTTAATCCCACTAGAGGATTGTAAGTAAAAAATATGGGAGACCCCTGTAAGTTAATGGTTACTCAGGAAAGTAGGTTTGCTTAACTGCAAAACCAAGGAGGCATGCTTAACATCAAAACCATGCAATAGAAGCATAAGACGTGTCCCAAAACAATAAAACAATGGTGGCATGAGACCCACATCCTGCCCAGTGAGCTCAGGAAGTCAGTGATCCCTAGAATATGCTCTCTGCACACATAAACAATAATCTGTGGACCGAGTTTCAGCAGGCAGGGACAAGAAAACTCCCTTGCCCGACCTGGAGGAGGAGCTGATGATGGAAGCATGACGTCCACTCAACAAAGACAAAGAAGTTCTTCTTCCCCTCCTGATGTTTCCTTTGATTAGAAAACTGTAGCCCAGTGAGTTCTTGAGGCAAGGCATCTCTCGCCCACCAGTTCATAAGTCTCATAAGTGTCCTATTCTCATAAATCACTTTTTATCTGTCTCTTTGCTTCTCGCTGAATTATTTTCTGCACTGAAACATCAAGGACTATGGTACACATGTAGGCTTCCTGGTGGTTCAGATGGTAAAGAATCTGCCTGCAATGTGGGAGATCAGGTTTGATCCCTGGGTCAGGGTCAGGAAGATCTCCTGGAGAAGGAACTGGCAACCCAATCCAGTATTATTGCCTAGGAAATCCCATGGACAGAGGAACCCGGTGGGCTAGAGTCCATGGGTTTGCAAAGAGTCAGATATAAAAGCACAGAGAAAATAATTATATTGTTGAAGGTCTCATGGCCAGCAAGTGATGTTTCACTATACAGACTCAAGTCTGTCTGGCTTCAGAGTCTGCATTCAGCCACCACAATATATTGGAATGTGTGTAGAAATACACACATTAGAGAGTAAAGAGGACTTCCTGTTTCTTAGAATTACTTGGAGGATGAGAAATGAGATACAAGGGACTTTGCAGTCAATGAAGCACCATGCAAGAATAAAGGACTATTACATATATTTAATAATATTTATTACCAGCAGAGGGGCTTCCCTAGGGGCTCGGTGGTAAGGAATCCCTGCAACGTAGGAGCTTCGGGAGACACACGTTCAATCCCTGGGTCGGGAAGATCCCCTGGAGGAGGGCACGGCAGCTCACTCCAATATTCTTGCCTGGAGAATCCCATGGACAGAGGAGTCTGGTGGGCTACAGTCCATAGCGTCGCAGAGTTGGACACGACTGAAGTGACTTAGCATATACCAGCAGAAACAACACCCCAAATTTTTTACCTAGTAGTGCTTTTAATTCACAGGAGAAACTGTGTATTTTTGCCTCCCTGGGAAACTTACGGTCCACAGGAACTTGTTTCTGTCGCTGGCTGTCTCGCACAATACTGCCACCACTGTCGCTGGAGCTGCTGCTCTGACGGGCTATGTTCGCCGGGATCTTTGACGCCGGAATAGGAGCTGGAACGGAAGGTGGGAGGGGGACAGTGACAGGAGCTGGTGCTGGAGGAGGTGATGGCGCAGAAGGAACGTCGGTTGCTCTTGGGCCATACTCCATCCTTTGTTTCTACAAAGAAACAAATAATTCATTCAGAATTGTGAAGATATAGACCTAGGCTAGGAAAATAAACTAGACTTTGACTGGATGTTGTTGGCTATTTATTTGTAAACTTACTTGTAGATCCATAGCAAATTTGTGGGTGCGTTAATGTACACACACGCACACATATAATCCGCCAATCCTACATGATGCAACAATTATTAAAAATTACTTTTAAATATTCTACACATTTGTTCAGAATCAAAATGTAAATTCAGCAGTCAAAAGTATATACCAATAGCAAACAGGAGTACTAATGACAGTAATAAATGACAAGAAAACTAAATTTGAACCAGGAATCATACAACAGCAGGGTAGGCAAAAGATGTCTGATATCAACAACATAAGGCATTAGTTACTCCTTATTTTAAATGCATGTTTTATTCAGAAGTGTTTAATTCTGTTGTTTCCAAGTAATTTGCTAAAAAGAGGGATAATATTTCAATAGATAAAAGGACTATACTTTAAAATAAACAAATTTAAAATACTGTTAATTTTTTCAAACCATAACCTTTTTGGCCATAATATTAAAGCTAATTGGTTAAATTTCCTGTTAAGTGGTGAGGGTCATGAGATAATCTTTAATTAAATGTTTATGACTACGTCTCAAAAGCATATTATTAGGAAAAAAGGTCATGTGGGGATTTGTATTTTAAAAGGTGGATGTGACAGAATATATAACTTTCAGTAATTTTTAAATGATTTAGGCTATTAGAAAATAATATTTATATATATATTCCCTATTAAACTAAAAACAGTAGTTAAAGCTTTAAACAAAATAACAGATAACTGTATTAGAATAAGTTCCAAATTCACAAAAGGCAATTTTTTGGATCAGATCAAAGCTACAGAGCAATGACTTATAATACAGTACTGGCACAATTTTAATTATTCTGAAATTCAGGATCAGCCAATAAAATGCAAAAAACAAGCCTTTTGGTAATCTGGTTCTTTGACTAGAAGAGTTTTTAAATTTCTAAATTGGCCCAAATATAAGGCAGTATTGATTTTAAAGAGGCCTTCCCAATTTCCACAGAGATCAAAATTATCAAAACACACACCACACACATTCATCACTTTTTCTTACTTAAGAAACAACACACCATCCTCAGAGGCACCTTCACAGCAAATGAGTAACACCTGTGGAAACCAGATGGGGACGCAGCACTGGTTCACTACTGTCTCTTTAAAAGCTTCCATTCACCCAACCGTGGGTAGGGGAGGTAGGAGGGGTATGAACCAAGGATGGGAGAACTGAAAGAAGAGTTTATCCTGCTGCTGTTTCTTGGAGGGAGATGGGAGGGCGGAGGAGCTAAATTCACAGAGCAAGCCATGGAGTTAAATGGGAGAGAAACAGACTTTGCTGGCCCCTCCACATCCAAGGCTTGGAAACATTTCTAACATTTGATAATCGAATACATTATTATGATGATGATGAGCTAAAAAACAGCGTTCCTATATTTGGGCCAATAAAATATTTCAAGCAATCAAAATACAGCAAACATCACAGACATGTAACACTTAGCACACACCAATGTCATCTGATTAATGTATATACAGTATTCCCTTGACAAGAATGTCCTCAGCACATGATTTCATCAAAGGTTTGTGAATTCTCACGTTAGGATTTCAAAAGTGTCAGCATTTAAATGATTGCTTTTAATGCTTAAACAAACCAAAAAATGCTATCAGCTTCTGCATTCCATGGTATGATTCATATTTTTCTGCTTTCAAAAAAACAAGAACAGCTCGTGTTTTGCTATCCATCAAATAATACTGTGAACAACTGAATACCTGTGTTATTGTCACAATCAAGTCTGCACACAAGCTCGCCAAATCATCTGTGCCTCATTTCAATCATCTGTCATTGCTACATAATACAACTTTATCAGTATAATCTATCACTGGCTTAAACAAACAAAAAATATATATATGTATGTGTGTATATATATGTGTATATATAATATACAGAGAAACCAAAGGAAAATGTTTCATGAATTAGATTGTAAATTTTACTTACTTGCATATTTTCCCCTTTTCATGGTCCTCCTACCTGCCTCATGCTTTTATTCCTCATGGAATAAAAAAGGGATGGGGCGGGGAGCACTTTCCTTAAATCATTACAACCTGTTCTGAAACCAAGGTGGTTTTTCCACGGAAATGGCTAAGTCATCGTCCATGGGAAGGAAAGAGAATCAGGCCTGACTCGTGAAATCCCTTTTCTCTCTCTGGGCCCCCATCCTCTCCACTGTTGTCTACTTAGCACCCAGTCACTGCTCTTCTCCTCCTTCCCCTGCTTCCCGGTTACTTCTGGTTGGAAGTAGAGAGCTGATGGCCCATCAACTTAATGGAAAGTCGTAGAGAGTAGAACTCTACCCCGAACTTTCTTCTCCTGAACCAAGGGTGCTGAGTCTCCAAACCCAAAAAGAAATCTTGGCCAACCATTCCCATTTAGCCTGGGACCGTCCCAGGGTTAGCTCTAAAAGTCCCACATCCCTTCAAAGCCCTCGGTAGTGAGCAGACAGGGATGATGGGTCACCTCGGTGTGGCCCTACTTCTCTACCATCATTGGCACTTCCTAACTCTTGCCTGTTATCTCCTGCAAATATATTTCAAGTTCCACTTAAAACAAGATATCTCTTGGGTTTTTTTCTCTTTCTCGGAAAGTCAGAATTGCTAGATTCCATGGAACATGTTGGCTTCCCAGATGGTGGTAGTGGTAAAGACCCTGCCTGCCAATGCAGGAGAGGCAAGAGACTAGAGTTTGATTCCTGGGTCGGTAAGATCCCCTGGAGTAGGAAATGGCAACCCACTCCCGTATCCTTGCCTAGAAAATTCCATGAGGAGACTGGCAGACTACAGTCCATGGGGCCACAAAGAGCTGGACATGTGACCGAGTGACTGGGCACACATGGAACATGCACTTTCTGTTGATAATTAAGTCCAGTGAGTCACTTTTCTGTAGCAACTAAAGCTAAGTAGAAATTCTCAAGGATTAAAGAAAGATTTGTCAATAAGTTCTTGATTCATGCAAGATATTGCTTCAGAGGGGAAATTATGCAAGCAAGCCCAACAAAGCCATTAAAATTGAACTGTTCTTAAAAATGGATCTACACATTTTTCCCCCCTCTAAATTTAGTCTCTTTGGCATTCTACAGTGAAAACTAGGCACAGCTGGAACATTTGGAGGGTGTTAAGTCCAGAGATTGAATCCAAAAAATTACATCAAAAAAGAAGTGCCTTGAGGGAATAAACGTGGGTTACCTCTGACAGCTCGCCAAGTAATTGCTATTAGGAAAATGGAGCAAATCACGTCAAATGAGAAAATTTAACATAGGAGATGGAAAATAATATCAATTATACTTCACATCAAATATCAGAGAGTGTGAGATAATTAGCTTTTGAGAGTAAAATTACCTGCCCACAAATCAACCAGAGAAAGAGCCTGTAAATATATAATTAATTTCCACCACTATCTAGTCATATAAAACAAATTATATAGACTCACACTACAGTATAAACAGTGTGGAATATTTCAGTGACTATTTGTGTATCCAAGTATTGTGTTTTAAAATACTAAGATAAGGGTTCATCTTATAGTTCATGAAGAATACAATTACAGTTCATTACATGTAAGACTAATTCTTCTTATAAGTTGCTTTACAAAAGGAAATACATATATATCATGGTGTGTCTTTTAGCAAGTTGAACTTGAAAGCACTTAAACAAAATTTTATAATTTTGTACACATGCATGCTGGGCAGGAATTTCTATATACATGGAAAGAGAGAAAGAGAGTAGGTATTATTCAAATTACTGCAAGAAATATTTGGAAAAATTTTCATGCATGAAGCAGAATAAAAGTATCTAAGACTATACACCATCCCAGTGTAAAGACCATGCCTCTACTTAATAGATGAATAGAGTGCTCTAAGATTAACTTCAAAAAAAATTTTAAGAACTGAATATTATTAGGAAGCTGGTCTGCTGGAATGAATATAAAGACATCTTTAGTAAATTTTTCCTCTCTGTCCAGCAGTATCTGAATATCAGGATTGAGCCTGAAAAACAGAGCATTCATAAGAGGAGCTGAAATTAGTAGCATATTGGTTTAGTACTCACCTGGAGAAAACATCTCCACTTTTAATTTAGGGCTACTTAAACATGTATAGAATATAAAAGAATTTTATATCTAGACTGGATTCTTGAGATCATGAAACTTGGCCCCTTCCATTTCACAACTCAGCAAACTGGAGCACAGAAAAATAATATATGAGTAGCTCATGGTGCTCAGTATCAGAAAGACAAACAACCCAATTAAAAAAAATGGGCAGAAGACATAAACAGACATGTCTCCAAAGAAGACATCAGCTCAGTTCAGTTCGGTCGCTCAGTCGTGTCCAACTCTTTGCGACTCCATGAACTGCAGCACGCCAGGCCTCCCTGCACATCACCAACTCCCAGAGTTCACCCAAAGAAGACATACAGGCAAATAAATACATGAAAAGACACTCAACATCACTTATTATTAGAGAAACCAATCAAAATTACCATGAGATATCACCTCACACCGATCAGAATGGCCATCATTTAAAAAATCTATAAACAGTAAATGCTGGAGAGGATGTGGAGAGAGGGGAACCCTCTTCCTTTGTTGGTGGGAATGTAAATTGATACAGCCACTGTGGAGAATAATACGGCGATTCCTTCAAAAACTAGAAATAAAAGACCCAACAATCCCACTACTCGGCATATGCCCTGAGGAGATGCTTTCTTTAAGATCACACAGCTACCCAGGGGCAGAGCCAGGACTAGAATATCACCGACCAGGACCTAGACTGGAGCTGTTTCCATCATATAGCACCTCTTGCTCTGCAACAGAGCAGACAGGAAAACTTTCTGTTGAACTTACTGGACTATAATGACCAGACATTCAAAATTACATGCATCTTGGTAGGGTAGCATATCTAAAATAATAATAAGCAGAGACTTAACAATTAATAATAAATAAAAGAGTTCTTCAGTCAAACCTCTGAGGATACTGGAAATAATAGAAGGGCAGGGGTTGGTTTCAGACTTGGCATTCAACATGAAAATATATGTCGTGGAGATCAGACTTATGGACACAGGGATAGGTGAGAAGAGGGTGATGTGTATGGGGAGAGTAACATGGAGACTTACATTACCATATGTAAAACAGACAGCCAATGGGAATTCGCTGTGTGGCTCAGGAAACTCAAACAGGGGCTCTGTATCAACCTGGAGGAGTGGGATGGGGAGGGAGATGGGAGGGAGGGTCAAGAAAGAGGGGACATATGTATACCTATGGCTGATTCATGTTGAGGTTTGACAGAAAACAACAAAATTCTGTAAAGCAATTATCCTTCAATTAAAAATAAATTGAAGAAAATAGAGATATAATATACAGCATGATTTAAAAAAACCTATGTCGGCAAAAGGGTGATTCTGGTAGACAAACAGTCCAAGTGTGAGACGTCAGGAAGTCAAGTCAGAAGACCTAGAGGAAACCTGATGTGGCAAGTAGACGCCAGGAGGGCAGGAAGCATCCTGCAGGCCCATGTGTTGCCCAGCAAAAGTAAGCCAAAGGCCTGGAATGCTCGATGACAGCATTTTCATCAAAAGGTAGGTCATTTATGTTCATTTCTCCATCATCTCTCAGGAACATTTACTTCTTTTCCCTAGTGGTTTCATCCAACCTTTTTTTTTAATGTCCTGCATCTTTCATAAATTCTTTATCACCTCCCTTCCCTTTAATTTTAAAGCTTTGCTGAAGCCATGGGGGGAAACACTTTCGCTGGGAACAGCTGTCTTTACGGAGAGCTGTTAAAATTCACTCCAAACGTGAGGATCTTAAGCAGCCTGGACTCGCGGGGACATCAGGTGGCAACTCAGCAACTATTTCAGACTGGTGCCAGGTACAAGCATCCCTGCCAACAGCAGACAATCTCTACCCAAAAGCGTGTGAACCACAGGCAATGGCTGCTCTCATGCCCCTACTCTAGCAACTGCCACTGGCTGTTGATTGCCCCCAAAATTGGTTTAGGCTTTTTAGGAGCGTATATAGGAAACCTGGACAAATGTTTGGGCCAGCCCACTCTACATACTTATTTATAAGAAATGAAAGCATATGAGAATAACAGTCCTAACACTGTGCCTTTTAAAAATTCAGTGCCTTGTAGATGCTGCATGGGCTTCCCAGGTGACTCAGGGGTAAAGACTTCGCCTGCCAATGCAGGAGACTCAGATTTGATCCCTGAGTTAGGAAGACCCCCTGGAGAAGGGAAAGGCTACCCACTCCAGTATTCTTGCCTGGAGAATTCCATGGACAGAGGAGCCTGGTGGGCTACTTCCATGAGGTTGCAGAGTCAGACATGACTGAGTGATGAACACTTTAAGCTTTCACAGTGAACACTCTAAGTCTATGCAAAACAGGGTATCAATATTTTGTAAGCACTAATTTCCCATGTCAGTCAAGTATATCAGAGCGTGGGTTATGATTCTAGAGTCCCAGGGCCCCATCCTGGCTTCATGCAGCTGTGTAATTGTGGGCAAGTTTCCTCTCTGTACTTAAATTTCCTGATACATAAAATGTGCCTCCTTCACAAGATTGATGTAGAAATTAAATATCCTAGTATTTGTGAGGTCCTTAATGGACATGGCAGATAGCCTAAGCATCTTTCTGTGGTACAGAGATTTAGAATGTTTTCATAAGAAGTTTCTTTAAATTTCTGTAAAATTTTGGTATCATTGGATGGACAAGACAGGGAGAAAAGTGTCAGTCACTTCTGAGCAGAGAGAAGGTCACTGATCCTGATGCACAAAGTAAGGGCAAAGCCAGGGGAGATGGCCTGGAGACTTGATTCTGGGCGGCAGGCTTTGATAGAGGATCTGCTCAGTGCTAGGATTTTTGTCTTTCTCTTCATCAAGTGTGAGATGCTGGCACCCAATAAATATTTGCAGGGTGAAAGAATGAAAGATGAATAAGACACAGAATCCACTTTTGATATGTCTGTAATCCATAGGCGTTCTATCAGATTAGGGTGTTAGGATTACTGAAACCAGTAATATGGTGGCATCTTTCTTTATTGTCATTCTAAAAACAGCTGCGTAATTTTTATTTAGATACTTAAAAGTATCTGGTAACACCTGTAGAGATAAAATAACTGGCAAATATTTCTGAGGCTGTTTTTCTTTTCTTTTTTACTCTATCTAGTCACTTTTCTCTGAGTGTGTTACAAGTTCTTTGAGAAAAGGAATTCTTTCAGAGTCATATTTATGCCAGATAGCAGATTTTCAAGCTTGCTTATTAAAATTTTACAAGATTCTGGTGGTTTTGCTGGGATCAGACCAAAGTTTTCAGGGGGTGTTAAAAAAAATAGATTGTTTTTAATACCTTTAAAAGTGGTGCTTCCAAGCTAAGCACACACGCACACACGCACAGCTTCTATCCACATTTCTATGTGCTTCGACACATTCAGAGCTATATCCAGAAAATTTCAACAGATAGTCAGATAGTGTTGAAAAGTTTAAAAGGAAACAGCCCAAACAAGCAATCCCTACAAGTTTCTATTTACATAAAGTAGCCAAGCAAACTCCTGAAACCCATGAGCACTTAAAAAATTTCTTGGTTTTGCCAAAGTTGACAAAAAATATCAGCTGAGGCTCTGTTCAAGGAAGGAGAAATAGATATTATGTTCTCAGAAAGTACTCTACCTATGATATGTATTAATAGTTTGGGTTCAGGTTTAGACAGAAGCAACCTTTAAACAGAAAGTCAACTTATGGCCCAAGCCAGGAATCTGAACTGAAGAAAAAGACAAGACTGAACAGTAAACAGGAAAGGGTAAGAGAGGCTAAACTCCCCAGGAAATCTCAAGTGGGCAAAAATACTTAGAATTCACGTTTGTGTTTGCAAGTTTTAGGTGTCTTATTTTACGGGAGGTTGCCGTTCCTAGCAACAAATCACACAAATAAAAACACATTTGGCGAAGTGTTTCTAACATTTTAGATATAAAATCTGGGCTTCTGTTCACATACAGCAACTCAGGATATCCTTTGTGAATAGTGCTTCTTGTTGTTTACCATGAGTTAAATATCAAAAACAGTGCTTATAACATGTACACACTGCTATATTCAAAGTGGACAACCAACAAGGGCCTCCTGTACAGCACAGGGAACTCTGTTCAATGTTATGTGGCAGGCTGGATGGGAGAGGAGCTTGGGACGCATGTATATGTATGGCTGTCCAACATTGTTAATCAGCTCTACCCCAAGACAAACAAAACAGTTTAAAAAACAAAAACAGTTGCTATAGCTCAAAGGGTATACATTCCATCACTGGTTTAGGCATACACTCTAACATGTTTAAAGCATTCAGTCAAAACCTCTATAGGAAAGAACACAAAGAATTGATATTTACAAACCAGACAGAAGCCTGATTTTGGTCAGGTAATCACATCACAAAATCAGAAAAGTAAGAACTTAGGAGAGAAAAAAGTATTAAGACTCGATTAGAAAATTCACTTCAAAAATCCATGGGAAACAGAGTAGACCATACCTTGAATAACTCAAACTCCTTCTTTGGCATCAAGAGCTAATGACAAATGATGAACATAAAATAAGTACATGATACATAAGCATAGCAGGCCAGCCCAAACATAAGCACAGCAAACAGGATTCCCACTGCCATCACTTTAAGCTATCAAGATACATAAATTGTACATAAATTCTTTATTTGAAATGTTTGCTTGATTCTGGAATTCCAGTAAGGTCAAACGTCTCTCCGGATAACTGTGGGATATGTACTGGGCTTGAATGTTGTGTGAAGCCAGAAGTCCTTACGGAATGATGGTAACAGCACGTGACCATAGTTCTAGGCTTGGACAACCTGTGTTTTACTAAGCCTAGGCATGGAATTTTACTATTTCACTGCATATTCTACATAGTTTCAGCTTCCACTCAAATCTGTGACACTATTATGCAGTCAGATGTGACCTTTTGCTCAAGATTCTGAAAATGAAAAGAATTTTCCCAGGGCCATGGGAAGGTAGTCACCGCGGGTTCAAAGGCTAAGCGTGGGACAGTCGGTCCATTCCATCTCTGCTGACAGGTCTGACTCTAGAGATCAGGCCACAGATTCAAAAGCAAATGGTGCTGGCCCAAGTCTCACATGGTTACCAAATGTGAAGAAAGATAATGGCGCTAAAAATTGGGTGGAGGGTCTGCCATGTGAAGGTAGTTTTTAAAAAGGGATTAGGATGCGATAGTTGGAAAGTTGAAAGCCAACAGACTATAATCAGTCTATTCAGAGGATGAGAGCAAAGTCTGGGGAAAATGAGCTGGTAGACACTCCAACCACTGTCTCAGTACCATCCTCTATCAGGACCCTTGGACAGGGGGGCTCTGGGTAAGAGTGAAGAGGTAGAAATACTACTGGGTTGGCCAAAAAGTTTGCTCGAGTTTTTCGGAAAAACCCGAACGAACCTTTTGGGCAACCCAATATTTCTCCAAATGTCAAAAATATTATATGGTAGAAAAACACAGTATTCAGAGAAACAGTCACTGAGATAAAGACCTTAAGCAATTGTCTGAAGAAGTAAATCAGAAAATATATGTACAATTCTTCCTTATGTCCCTAGCCACTGTCCCAGCTACCTAGGGAAAAAAAAAAAGTATAAATTATACAATCAATGAAGTCTCAAAATGACTAGTACATAAAAAGTATTTAAGTTCTGTTGAGGGGCAATGAATCTAAAAATTTGAAAAAGTTAAATTTTTGCTCAAAAATCATCATTACCTGTATGGTATGCGTGTAAGGTGGATCAGCACGCCCTAATCCAGACTCTGGAGGTCTCACGATATCCAAAATGTTATTTGGCACAAATCCAGAGTCTCCACTTGCATTTCGAACTTTCCACCATTGCTTCCTATCATCAAGGATCTGTCATCATGCAAGAAAATAAATATGTCATTTCTGTACCAAACTAATCTATGAAGGAAGTTCAATCTTTATTCTTAGACTAAGCAAGTGGTTTCACTTCTAATACACTGACTCAGCCCCAACATACTGTGGGTTAAGTGATTCTCAGGAATTACACCAAGAATTACAATGACTAATATAGAACAGGTATGGTACCATTCCACCCCCAGGTCCATATTACTTTCCAAGAATGTTTAACTACTTGTGGTATCAGAAGTGTTAAGACGAGTCACTTGGAAAAGGTCTATTGTTTCCACCATTAGAACAGACAGGAAATATATCAAAAACATTTTTTTTACAATAACTATTATGACCTGGCCACAGTATATATTAAAAAAGATGATGTCTCAGTTATAACTAAAGAAAGGGATTTTGGTCATGGTGGATTATTCCCAAAACCATTAGCACACTCACTGCTGGGTACATTTGTGCAAGGGTACTAAAATAGGAAGGAGGAAATGTTTTCTCTTATTAAAATAAGATGGTGTCCCACTACTGGGCATATACCCCAAGAAAACCATAATTCAAAAAGATACATGCAACCCAGTGTTCATTGCAACAGCATTAACAATAGCCAGGATACAGAAGCAACCTAAATGTCCATTGAGAGATGAATGGATAAAGAATATGTGGTACATATATACAACAGGATATTAGCTGGCCATAAGGAGGAATGAAATTGGGTCATTTATAATGATGCAGATGAACTCAGAGTCTGTCAAACAGTGAAATAAGTCAGAAAGACAAAAAATATCATATATTAATGCATATATATGGAATCTAGAAGGATGACACTAATGAACTTATCTGCAGGGCAGGAATGGAGATGCAGATGTAGAGAATGGGAATGTGGACACAGCGTGGAAGGGAGGGTAGGACAAACTGAGACAGTAGCATTGACATATACACACCATCATGTGTAAAACAGATAACCAGTGGGAAGTAACTACACACACCGGGAGTTCAGCTTGGTGCTCTGCGATGACTTAGAGGGGTTGGATGGGGCGGTAGGAGGTAGGCTCAAGAGGGAGGAGACATATACACACACACACACACATAGCTGATTCACATATAGCTGATTCATTTTGTTGTACAGCAGAAACTAACACTGTAAAGCAATTATATTCCAATTAAAACAAAAGCAAAAATTATGGTGCATCTACATCTGAAGTGTTAATCAGCCTTGATTCCAGAAAAAATAAAGGCCAGAAGAGGGAAGAGGCCAAAGTAAGCCAAGAAACCCAACCACATTCCCCACAAAACAAAAACAAAAGAGACAAATCAGATACCCCTTCCTAAGCAGACACAGGTATCTATAGTATGCTGTATCCTTGGAAAGGTAAAATACACCAAAGAATAATTTCTTGACCTCAGCATTTCTTTGAGGAAGGTTTAGATATACACCAGAAAAGGAAAACAATAAGTTTACTTTATTAAGAGTATAAAAAGGCAAAATTCTATTACCTCTAAGATATCATCCTTTTGAACGGAGAGCTCACTGTTGTTCCTTGCCACAAAGTCATACTTGGATTTGGCATATTTCTTGGGTTGTAGATCATAATTTCTACAAAAAGAAAGAAAAAACATGATTACCCCGCTAGCTTTTTCTAAGAAAAACAGAAGTAAAATGCTAAGGCAAGCCAATTTCTACCAGAAACCATTTGGACAAGTTATTTAGATAGTAGTTATTTTATTATACCTTATAGAATACGAGAACTAAAAGAAACTTTGGCGATTTTACCATTAAAATGGACAAACTATGGCCAGGGTAAAAATAAATAATGCAAAATCACAAAGCTAGTTAGTGCAAAGCCAAATCTAGAATGCAAATCGTTGAATTCTTTGTCCATTAAATCCAATATCCAAAATACTGGATATTGTTTTGTAAACCAGCATTTCTTTTTTTTTTTTTTTTTTTTTTTTTAAACCAGCATTTCTACCATGAAAGGGCCAGGATAATGATCAATGTTACCATGTGTCATAAAATTAAAAGAGACTGATGATAATTTCCAACTGTGGTAATTTAAATTATATGTTGATTTCACTGATTCAAGCAATGACTTCAATTCATTAACCAAATAACTATGAAAACATTATGACTAAGTGACAATTTTTAGGAAATCTTTGTCTGGTTATCTAAATTGCAAAGGAAGGTATGGGTTAAGTACAAGACAAATAACACTACTTATTTTTTAATTAATTTACTATAAACTTATTATAAGAGTAAGAATAGGTATATTTAAAAAAAATTTTTATTTTGTATTGGGGTACAGCCAATTGACAATGTTATGTAAAGAACAAAAACAACATTATATATATAGTTTTAGGTGAACAGCAAATGGATTCAAGACATAAATATACATGTATCCATTCTCCCTCAAACTCCTCTCCCATCCAGGCTGCCACATAGCATTGAGCTGAGTTCCACGTGCTATACAGTAGGTTCTTGTTGGTTATCTGTTTTAAATATAGCAGCGCATACATGTCCATCCCAAACTCCCCAACTATCAAGAACATGAAAACCAAACACGTCCTTTAATCATTAAATGACAATTAACAGATTAAACAATGTAATTTTAAAATGCTTTTATATAATATAATAAAACCAGACATATAAACAATATACTAATATTTTCATTGCAATGATGAAATAATAATTTTATTTTAAAATTAATTTTACTCCCTAATCTTCTCCTCTATTTACTTTCCCACGTTTCCTCATATATCTCTGTAAGGGAAAAAGCAGGAAGGAACTAAAGATGCTTGGTCATTTTTCCCTTGGGAAGTGGCCATTCAGCTTGTTGCCCGCCTAGATCATCTAGAATACTGAGTCACAGCAGGGCGTGCAGGACAGTCTTTGCTATTTTGTACATCTTAGAAGTAACTGCCAGCATGCACTTACAAAGTGCTTTAGAATTTACATCTTTGTGGTTTATAGTTTCTTGCCCTCTATAGATTAAACATGGGTAAGACACTGACCATAGTCATCAATCTGAAAATCACACTTGGCAATTTTTTAGATGTACCAATGCTTCTTAAAAGATCTAGCATGTATCAAAATGTATGGTCTCTGTTTTTGATTTGGAGTAACAGATACACACCTGATATAGAGTCTGCATATAGAAATACACACCTGACATAGAGCAGACACAGAGAAGGTAATGATATGAGACTTCTAAAAAAAGCCATGAATTGCTTTTGAATAGCAGCAAACTATAATCCCTCAAAGGTGAGGGCTCTAAATTCAAAAAGTGCTTTCCCTAAATGACACTATAATTTCACTGAAGAGTGAATATACTTCATATGGTATTTACTGCATTTCTGGCATGTAGTAAGAGTTTAAGATTAATAATAGTTATAAAAAAAAAACCCCAAACCTCTGTATTACATTTCAGACCAAAAAACTTTCAAACAGTTTTTGCAAGAATGATGACAAATTTTCTTAGCAACATCAAAGATCCAGGTGTCTATTAACTATTCAGCTTCTGTTATAATATGCCCAGCTGAGAGACTGGACCCCTGAAGATAACTGAAATATTCAATTTACTCCTTTAAAAAATTCTTTCTCTGGCTAAATATTGACAGTCTTAAGGTCTCTATACTTGAATATCCCTTCATGGAATTTCCTTCACTAATCTGAAATAATTTCTAGAATAATGACAGCTAAGACAGAGGAAAAAAAAAGGAAAAACAAAATACTAGGCTGAGGAACAAGTTACTCAAGAAGAATTTCAATGAAATAATTTTTAAACTTCAAAACTGATTTTCACCTGTGTCTACTAAAAATTGAATCTATAATTAAAACTTCTTTCATACGTTGACATTTTCAAAATGTATTACTCATTGCTGACTTTTCTTTGTACTCAATTTAATATGCTACTAGTGCCCTTAGAATAATAACTGTATAATTTCCACATCATTTTACTCAAGTGTTACCTCTGTTATCACTCCTGACAAAAAAAATTTTTAAACCCCACCTTCTCTAGATTCTATTAAGGAAAAATATATACTGAAATTAAGAGTGTCTAACACTCATAGTAAGAGATGCTTTGAGATAGGAGAGTACTGGGGCCAGCTCTCTACCCCACTTCATCTGAATGATCATTCTCTTATACCTTTGTTATCAACATTTCACCTTTTCCTTTCTCTTATGTACATGGGTTATCTCCATATAAACCTCACATGCAGTTTACATTGGAAACAAGATTGAAAAAGTGAACTTATTTCAATTTAATTTGTTTCTTTCCCATCTTAATTCTCCATTTTTGTCTTTACTGATTTTTTTGAGAGAGGAAATATGGGAAAATAAATGAAATATGAAACTAAAGAGTAAAAATGAAATACAGAATGAAATGGTAAATAAGGCACTGATTCTATTTAAATATTCAGTTTATATTTAGTTTAAATACTTCTATCTAAAGGAAGGTTTGTTTGTTTTTGCTGGGAGAGACAAAGATAGAAATTATTTCCTTTAAAAGTTACAGAGCTGGAAAGAGTCTTAGAGACCATCTGGTACACACTAGAGAGTTTCAAAACAATTCTTCTTAATTCACAGATTCTGCCAGAAGCATCTTTTAAAACATGGAAAGTCATCCAATGGCATTTGCGCTGTTAGAATTATAGACTGGAGACCTTGCTCACCAAAGCCAGTTCTACAAAGGAATAGCTTAAACTTTAACAGATAATTGCTAGATGGGAAGTTTAAAGAAGTAGTGAACAATGCAGACACTGGCACCTCTATCTGTGTTAAACCAGAGATAATCATCTGCAGCTCTCCAGATGAGGCCCATGAAAAGTTACCTATCTACGTGGCGAAGAGGAGTTGGCTTAAAAGCAATAGCAGCCTCCCCCTGGTCCGAATGGGGCCCTCTTCCATAAATATTATTGAATGCCGTGTACCCATCAGCTGAAGGATACTCTGATGCACTGGAGTGCTGAAAGACAAAGCAGAGAAGGTTAAAAAATCACAAAAACCATTTGAATGAGCACTGGCATCAGTTAACAAGAAACATCTACACTGTGATCAATTTCATTTTCAAGTGATTGACCATTACATGTTAATGTATTATGAAACGGGAGGGTGATATATTTTTGGCAAAAACCTACCTATAATAAAAAAAGGTAATCAGTGCAAAGACTAAATCTTAATTCCGGAAATAACCAGGTATAAAAACAAGAAATTCTTTCCTGTGTGTGCGTGGCTCAGTAGTGTCTGACTTTTTGTGACCACATGGACTGTAGCCCGCCAGGCTCCTCTGCCCATGGAATTTTCCAGGCAAGAATACTGGAGTGGGTTGCCATTTCTTATTCCAGGGGATCTTCCCCACCTAGGGATCAAACCCACATCTCTGTATCTCCTGCATTGGCAGGAGGATTCTTTACCACTGAGCCACCTGGGAAGCCTTCTTTTCTCTGAAATTTCAATAATAGGTGATTTCGGTATTAGGCAGACTTTAACAGCTTGTATAAAATAAAACTGGTTGAAAACCAACAATACTAAGACTCTTAATCTTTGCTTCATATGTTTAAGAAACAAACCTTTAACACTCTACCAAAGGAAATACTACTGCAAGAAAACCATCTGAACTCTACACATTAAAATTATACTACTCTCTATTCTTGTTTTTAAATGTACATGGGCACTATGTTTTTTTTAAAATGGTAGCACTATTATCAGATTTACTGTTAACAGAAACCCAGAAAAACATTGATCTTGACAGCCAATAGTACAGGATAAGAAAACGCTGCAGTCATTTCCTTTTGCGTTAACACAATGCGGACATGAGCATTGGGCTACTAAAAGGGAGAACCATTGTATATGAGTGCCATTAGGCAGCACAGCTTGAAAGATATGTGCCCCCCCAAAGCAAACAAAAAAGCTCATCTAAGGACACTTGTACTGTTTCCTTATATAAAATGAACTGTGATAGCTATTCAAGGTGGCACTAGTGGTAAAGAACCTGCCCACCCACCTTGCGGGCTATAGTCCATAGGGTCTCAAAGAGACAGACATGACTGAAGTGACTCAGCACACATGCATGCACATGGTAACTGTACAATAGACCCTAAAGCATTAGAATTCTTTGGCTATTTTAATTGTTTATAGATTCACTGGGACAAAATATTTGAAACTGGAAATGTTTCCAAAAAGTTTTGAATGCATCTTTACTATAGTTAATTCTAGTGACTAAGTTGGTAGGCATAGGGCTAAGTTCATCCACCGACAGAGGAGGTGAAGATGTCTCCAATGGACTACTGCTGATGTCAAAATGCCCATTTCATGTAACTCCTGTGGAATATTTATCAGGATGTTGCACTTAACATACAAATACAGATAAACAATTTTTACCATTTGAATACTGTAGCTTAAACCATCAACAGAGTGAAAAGGCAATCTATGAGATGGGACAAATCATGTATCTGATCATGTATCTGAGAAAGAGTTAATATCCAAAATATATAAAGAACTTAACTCAATAGCAAAAAGCAACAATCCGACTAGGAAATGGGCAGAGGAACTGGATAAACATTTCTCCAAAGACATACAAATGGTCAGCAGGTATATTATGTAAAGGTGTTCAACATCACTAATCATCCTGGAAAAGGAAATCAAAACCACACTGAGATATCATGTCACACCTGATAACAGCTATTGTCAAAAAGACAAGGGATAACAAGCATTGGGAAGGATGTGGAGAAATGAGAACCCTTGTGCACTATTAGTGGGAATGAAAATTGGTATAGCCAGTATGGAAAACAGTTATGAAAGTTTCTCAAAAAACTAAAATAGAACTTTCATATGATTCAGCAGTCCCACTACTGAGTATAATCTTGAAGAAGATGAAATTAGGAATTCAAAGAGAATTCTGAACCTCAAAATTCACTGCAGCATTATTCATAATAACCAAGATATGGAAAGAACCTATGAGTCCATTTCAGATGAGGATATAAGGAACAGGCAGTATGTGTGAATATACAATGGACTATTATTTGGTCATGTAAAGGAAGAATCCTGCCATTTGTGACAACATGGATAAACCTTGAAGACATTATGCTAAATGAAATAAGCCAGGCAGAGAAAGACAAACACCACTTGATATATGTGGTGTGTAAAAAAGAAAAAAATCAAATTCATAGAAACAGAGAATAAAAAAGTGGTTGCCAGGGTTGGGGGATGGGAGAAATAGGGAGAGGTGGGTAAAAGGGTACAGACTTTCAGCCATAAATAAATATGGTCTGAAGATCTAATGTAAAATGTGGGGACTACAATGGATAACATTGTAAACAATTAAAAACAATTGTAAACAATGGATAACATTGTAAACAATTAAAACTTGCTAAGAGTAGAACAGAAATGTTCTCCACAACAGATAAATATGTGAGGTGATGGGTGTGTTAACTAACTAGATGGAGGGCAGGGAATCCTTTCACAATGTATACCTACATCAAATCACAATGATAAAGACTAAAAAGCTCATATTTTTATTTGTCAATACACTTCTACGAAACTGTAAGTAAAAAATAAAATAAAGAACAAATGGCTTAATTTAATTCAGTATATCATTTCCGTAGGAGCGAGCACTGGCTGTAGATGATCAGGCCATTTTTATTAAATGCTTTTATAAAGGGGAGAGTTGAAGAAACATGAACCACCCACACCTTCTGCCTGGCTCTGAACATGACAGTGTGGTCAGACAGTATGAAATCACTGGTTTTGAGAAGAATGGGGAATATTAGCAGGGAGGAGAGAAATGATGACAATTCACTAACTGCGATAACTACACAACGTAGTTCAGGCGGCTGCTGGTTTTGAGGAAGGAAAGAAGCTGAGTATCGCCACCCACATTTGCCACTCCTCATCACCTATGCCTTTCAATCCAAAACAAAATCACCAGATCCTGAATCACCCAAGTCTTGTCCTGAGTGCCTCTACTATAGTTGCACTAAAATATAATAAAATCTCTCTTCTGGGGATGATTGCATTTTATGCATTCTTAAATCACCATTACTTTAGCCTCTTTTCCAACAAAATCTTAAGGCATAAAAACCCCAAGAACTGCTAGCAGGTGCTTTTCAGTTCCTTTTTTTTTCAAATGTCTGAATAAGTAAGTGCTCAAGCCATAAAATGGAAAATAGTTTACAATGGGAAAATGATAACTCATTACAAGGAAGAATTCTCAATAATTCTTTTAAAGATACTTATTCACTGAGAGTAGACAAACTTTTACACTGGAAGCCAGGACATATTACTCTCTCTTTAAATGCACAAAATGAAATAGAACTCACAAAAGTGAATTTCTGAGGCATACATTATTAAATGGATAAATTTTCTTCAAGATCTGAGGACTGTAAGCAAAAAATTTCTATGATTTGAAAATACTCAGCTGTAACTATAGCAACAGCAAGTGTATCATAATTTCATGACTGATTACATTTTTTTTCCTCCAGAAAAGTTACCCTTTACGAGGAGGGAAAATTCATTGTGATGAGGTCTGAACTATAAAATACAGCTAGGGACATATGTCTGCTAAACAGGGCCAAGAACTGTGAGGTCATCTTTTTAATCACGCAATTAGAGGGAAAGGCGGTTACAGAATTCACCCCAACCATTATCTGCAGCCAGAGGAAAAAACAGAGTAGAAAGAGATTATTTTCAGAGTAGTATTTTCGCTTTATTTATAAAATTTCAGAACTTAACCACTCTTTTATAACACTATGGCTATTGTGCAAAGAATTGATTTTAAGAAATTTAATTTATATAAATGTTTCTCCCTAAAAGTGAGGATTTACTTTGATTTGCTATTTCATTCTTTGATATCACAGTTGCCACACTGTAAATACCCACAGGGATCTAGGAAAATTAAGGAATTCAATAAAGGAAATGAACAGGACTTCGAGGAGGATCTAGCCATGAATTTTGTGTTTCTCCTTCCAACTAGACCTCATTTGTCTAACTCCTCGGGTTCCAATCATGCTATTTGATTTGGTTCCACTTTAAATGGTGTTTAAGTTTCTGTCATAACAAGAGGAGTCATAGAAAAACTCATTTTTAAGGAATGTGAAGAGACAGCATACCCAATTTGAATCCCTCGATCCGCTCTCCCAATAAATTACAGTCTAAAGTCTACCAAAGATCATAAAAGACACAATAAACTTTGTGATACCCTCAGGGTGTAATAGTGGCATGAGTCACTCTTTGGACCTAGGATGTGAGTCCAGCATAAGCTCTGGCCTTCTAGCGAGGCCGATAGAACTTGGGAAGGCTTAGTATGAGGCCAAAAAATAAAATAAAGAAAGAAATGAGGCATTCAGGAAGGAGCAGCTTGGAACAGGCTTAGAGGTCCTGGGTCCAAGGGACTGTCTTGAGGGTCTGATGATGGGAGAGGAACATAGGAAAAATGAGCCCAGCTGCAGCAAGGCATTTCCCTGATAAGGAGACAAAGTACAGAGTCCAAAAGATGGGATCATCAGGGCTCAAGAGCCCTGGCATGAAGGGCAGGGAGGAGAGCCAGCAGGCTGGGAGGGGTGATACCGGCTGGGTTCAGGCTTCACAGGGAAGCAGAGCAACTGTCACCATGACAACAAGGTGAGAGGTATCTGAGAGCAGCAGGACACTGAGTCAGTGAGTCGAGGACAATCTTCAGGTCAATAAAGTGAGAACTCACCATCAGAATTACATGAGAATGCACAGATGACTGCACCTCCCTCAAAAGATGATGCCAAGGACGTCCCTGGTGCTCAGCGGACGCGGATCCGCCCCCTTGCCAGTGCAGGGGACACCACTTGGATCCCTGGTCTGGGAAGATCCCACGTGCGGCAGGGCAACTCAGCCCCTGCGCCACAACTACTGAGCCCTCCCGCCTCAACTGCTGAGGCCGGTGCTCCACAACAGGGGAAGCCACCGCGATGAGAAGCCCCTGTAATGCGAGGAAGGGCAGCCCCCGCTCACCGCCGGAGAGAAAGTCTGCACAAGCATTAAAGACGCAGTGCAGCCAAAAGTAAAATGTGTTTTAAAAAAAAAAAAGATGATGCCGAAAGACTACCTCTGTGGATAATCTCTTTGTTTCTTGCTTGCGATGATGTTCTGCTGCGTTTGCCACAGACTCATTCAGTTGAAAGAGATCTGGCTCCACGGATGATCCCATGAAGTTCAGCATCGGGGGCTCCCAACCACTGCGGAACCGAGGGACGTATGGTGGAATAAACTGTTCTTTTGGCCACTCTGCTCTGCGGGAGGACATTAAGACAGGTGAACAGTCTTAAGAAATTAAGAAATGCTTCTATGCTCAAAATGACCTTCAGTAAGGCTGGCCACACACACACAAAAACGAAAACAACAACAAAAACAATTCACACCTAGTCTGCCCTCTTTCCATCCAAACAGAGAACTTTACATGTTTATGATTATATTTAATGGTGATACATGAAAGGAAGGCCGAGTTCTACTTCATGATCTGCTTCTGCGACATTGCCTTAATGCTCCATCAACTTTTAACATGGACATAGGTCTTTGACAATTTGAGGAAAGAATGCAAAGCTAGAAGTGTGATGAGGACTTAGTGCATGAGGTTCTCCGAGCATCTAAAGCAGTTTCTGATCTTCATCTTCTTCTTCATTCCCCTCCCATCACCATGATACTTTCTGATATATATTTTTCAAAGGAGAAACAGCAGACAACATTCTTAAGGCTCATGACTTTTTAAGTTATGAAGTTTCCTAAAATGAAACAGATTACTGATTTTATATATTAAATGGATCAGCTAGATTTTCATCAGTAAAATCAAGTGAGGTCTATCTGTAATAAAATCATGATCCATTCATTACTTAATAACTCTGAGACTTATTCCTGCAAGCTTTTAATCACTTATGAACCACAACAACTAAATGGAGAGACATTATTAAATTCTGCTAAAATATGTTGTTTATGTTTCACACGACTTAATTCTTCAGGTTGTATTTCTGCTATGATGAAGTGAGCTATCATTCAGATTGTTATGTACCTTTATGATTCTTTTTTATCTTTATGAGTTTTTAAGTCAGCATATTCATTTCCTAATACTCTAAATAATCAGAATAGGAAATGACCCATTTTCTCAAGTCAAAAGCTAAAAATATGAGTTCCTTTTGATGTAGTTTTCCTAGTAGTCATTAATTTTCTCATTTTGAGGTAGAACCCAAGACAAACTAAAAAGCCTAGACTATTTTAGTACTATGAGGTCTGATAAATTGAATAAAGTTTACAGAAAAAAATGAGAAGATCTCTACCTATGCTTACCATAAAATCATAATCTACATAAATCTAATAGATTTAAGAAATCTATTTAACCAGTTTTCACATAGTGTGAGATATATAATACATTCTATATTAATATATAATAATATGCATAAACAAATTTAGATAATATTTTCAATATAAAAGCAGCAACAGCAGTGCTCTTTAAGAATGTTCTGCTTGGTAAACCACTCCATGTGTAAAGCATATTCCAACACAATCAGTTGCCAAAGTCCAAAATGTAAGTGGGAAGGGTTTAGATATATTTCAATAGAAAAAAGGAGAAAAAGATATGAATTGGTCCATTACTTTTAGGCTAGCCTAAAAGCCTTAGGAAGACAAACTTCCAAGTGATCATATGAATGATTTACTCTACGCAGGGAGATTAATACAAAGACTGGAATAAATGAGGAGAGAAGACATTATTTAATCATATGTAATGAAATGAGAAATATTTTTGAAACTTGCTTGGCCCAGAAAACTCGAATCCTGCAGTTAATGATTTCTTTTCCACAGTCACCTTACTGACAAAACATAATTGTAAAATCATTCCCTCCTCTTTTCCACGTCCTCCACCACCACAGTTCTTGTCTCAGGGAATGTTGATTAATAAGGAACCTCTACAGTTGCATTACTGTCCCAAGGGTCCTCGTACCTTGGGTGAATTTTGTCCATGTCACTACTAGACTTAATGACCAGACTGACCTTTGAAAGGTGTGCCTGTGTATTTGTCACACTCCCATTCACAAATCTACTGGTTCTTCTTAGCATGGCACGGGGAGCCTTCAGACCAGCCTGGCTTATCTCTGTACATCTCATTCACCACCATTCTTCCACTCCCTATTCTCCACAATCCTCTACAACCCAAATCTATACTCCAGCTAATTCCACACTCATATTCCATTCCCTTGACTGCCTGCTTCATGCCTTCACTCACGCCGCTCTCTCAACTGGACAGGCCCTTTCCCTGACACATGTCTGGGGAAATCCTACTAAGCCTGCTGAAAGGCACCTAAGCAAAACAACTCTGAACATCTACTCCAGGACGAGACTGCCTAGGTTCTCAGTCTAGCTCTGCCACTTATGAGTTGTTCGGCTTTGGGAAAATTACTTAATCTCTCTTTGCCTCAGTTTCCTCACCTGTAAAATAGGCAGAATACAGGGACCTATGTAAAGTGCATGGTAGAGTGCCTAGTAAACACTATATGTACACATATGATTACACACATGTATAACTGGTGTTATCATCTGATGATTTTAAATGCCAGCCCTTCTATGGAAGATCCCCTGGAGAAGGGAATGACAATCCACTCTAGTATTCTTTCCTGGAGAATTGCGTGGACAGAGGAGCCTGGTGGGCTACACAGTCCATGGGGTCATGAAGAGTCGGACGTGACTGAACATGACTAACACATGGCTTCTTTGGAGGCTAACTGCTTTCCTCTCCAAACCGTCTTCCTGACAGCTCCATCTTGCCAAGTGACAGTTTTAACAAGTTTCTCCTAGGACTCATCACCTTACACTTCTGACTTCTCCACTAGACCTACAGCTTTTTAAGAATTTAGGCCTTCTCATCTACAACATCTACTCCTTCAAACATAGAAGGTTTTAATGAAATATCTCACTAGATTTGTGTACTAAGCAAACAACACTTAAAAGTCATTATAGGTGTGCTGTCCTTAGTCACTCAGTCCTGTCTGACTCTTTGCGACCCCATGGACTTTAGCCCACCAAACTCCTCTGTCCATGGAATTCTCCAGGCCAGAACACTGGAGTGGGTAGCCATTTGCTTCTCTGGGGCATCTTCCCAACCCAGGGATCAAACCCAGGTCTCCCGCATAGCAGGCAGATTCTTTACCATCTGAGCCAACAGGGAAGACCTAGTAAATGTGCTGTGCTGTGCTTTAAAAATGTTATTATAGGTATTCAACGCTAAACACGTACGTATGTTTACCTGGTTTTCATCCAAGAGTCTCCCAGTGACATCCACAGCTGCCTCTCATCAGCACTGACCGTGTAATTTAAGAAATCGATGGTGTCCTTCGTCAGTAGGGGGCTGAGCACTGAACCGGCCAGCTCAGGACCTCCTGTTGCCTGCACCACCTAAAGTGGCAACAAATCACTTTTTAGCAAGAAGATGATGATTATATGTACATTTTCAAAATGTGTACATTTAAAAATAAACATGAAAAAAACAAGTGGTCCTTATACACTCCAATTAAATCTTGATCCAGATCAACCTGCCCAGCCCAATAGTGAATAATTAAAAATGAAAAGTTAATAGTTTAACAGTTTTCACAGAATCTGTCTATTGGCTTCACATGACTGTACATTCCCTGGAAAATATTCATGGTTACCCAGAGAAATCTCAGTCAGATGGTTTAACTATTGCTACCTTTTAAAATATATATATATATCTTTACTGGAAAATCTATTATGCCAAACTTGAGAAATACAGTTCTCGAAATGAATACACTAGGGAGAAACAAGGCTTGAGTTAACAGTCTATGACTGTGCCTATAAAGACATAAAAAAATAAAGGGATTCAGAGGGAAAGGTGAGAAAAGGAGAAATGGTCTTCTGAATCTACGGTATTGCTTCCCAGAATTTAATTCAAGGGAATTCCCTGATATAAAATAGATATCTTCATGATTAACAAATGCGAATAAACAGGTGCAACTTTCTGATAAGCAAAATGATGATAAGTAGATGTCTGAAATCTGCTCCAATGTTACTTCTAAGGGGCTGTTTCCTGGCTAAAGAATGGTAATCTTCTAGAGCAGAAACCAGAGCCCTTTTATAAAAATCTCACCTTCCTGGAGATATGGCACAAGAATAAAGGGATCTTTTTTTGAACGGCGCCAGACCAAGAGTGAATTTCTCTTCAGTCATCCTGGTGTGCTGAGCCTGCCATGCTGTTTTATGTCTGTGTCTCTGCACATGCTGGTTCCCAGCACCCCCAGAAGGCCCTTCCTCATCATTTTAGAACTCTGCTCGGGTCCCACCTCTTCTGAGAAGCCCTTCCTAACCCCACAGTATAACTCTGATGCACCCTGGGGACCACAAGCATGCATATCAGTCACACATTTCACTGTAACATGGACCTTATTTTTCAGTTCTCCTCCCTTGAGAACATGGACCAAAGTTTATCTGACTTTGAACTGCAGAAGACACAAGGTTAGGGGAATGAATGAGAATGCATGAAAGAAAAGGTGAAGGATAAGGGAGGTAGGCAGACTCTTATTTGAGAACAAAACCTACCATGACAGCCTGGCACAGGGAAGTTTAAACTTCCAAGCCCTAGAACCTCTAATAAATAGGTAGCAATGACTAAGAGGGAAAGTAAGTAAGTAAAGAAACACTAAAATCTTTGGTTTAACAGTGGGAATAGGGAAGGGAACAAAAGAAAGTAAATAAAAGGCATGGGCCAAAGCCCCCTCTTAAGAATGTAAGTAGGCATGTGTGTACATGTATGTGCTGTGGGCATGCTTGCATGGACATGCTGAGGACACAGGGAGGGACCCACGAAGTCTTACGGTTTAATCAAATGTCTTTGCTTAAATTGGAGTATACTTGCTTTACAGTGTTATGATAGTTTCTGCTATACAACAAAGTGAACATGTATACATATCTCCCCTCCCACCCAACCCACCCCTCCAGGTCACCACAGAGCTCTGGGCTAAGCTCCCTGCGCCACACAGCAAGTTCCCCACTAGCTATCTATTGTACACATTGTAACTCACAAGGTTGAAAACCACAGAATTTTGCCTGGCTGGTAGCAGGCACTGAATAAATGCACCTATCCATTTCTCTTGTCTAAATAAAATGTCTGTGACTCAGTAGGCAGCACACTGGAGGAAGCAACTGAAGCGTTATGTTTGGGAGACTGTTAATAAGGAGTCATTTTTGAAAAATGAAAATATAAAATAAATCAGTGTTTTCAGATGCATAGCCTGATTACAAAGACTAATTTTTGTATGTTAGGGAAACCAGTCCCATTATTTTATAGCTCTGTTCTGTGTAATGTCTAGATACCTACTTACAATCTGTGAAAGACTGTGAACAGAATGAAAGGAGGTGGCAAAAACTGCTTTCTAAGCAATACTTCCTAACACTCAAACTAAGATAGTTCCAAACGTGTTGAAGAATAAAGAATAAAATTTTGTTAATGAGCTAGAATCAGTTTCTTTGCATGTGGAGAGCCTTGATCCAATTTTTAAAAGTGCTTAAAAAGGAAGAATTATTCAACAATAACTAGGCAAGTAGAAATCAGTTGCTCTATTTATAGCAACAACATAGGGACATGTTCATAAATTACTGATGTAGCCTTGAACTTTCATCTTCCAATTGCTTATCACCCAGTTCTGAAATTCATGTTGATAAGGTTACTTACTTTCCTATGTTTGTAAAGCAGTATTCATTTCTTATTCTACTTTAGGTCTTGTCTAGTTACCCTTGGGGAAAGAAGAATGAGGTGTATTCCTTTTTGTTACCTGGATTCTTTTTCTCATTTTTTTCTGACATTCAAACAAAACCTATGAGAAATGCTTGAATTTGCTCCATTTTTTATAAAGATTGAAGAACTCAGTGGCCACGGTCTTCATATGCTCTAAATCAAATTAGTGAAATTTATCTGCTTCATAGTTGCCATTCTTACCCTTTAAAAAAAGATCTCAGAAATAACACACAGAGCAGTCCCATATCACTAACAATTATCATTATTGCTATTGTTATTCTAGAAAGCAATCATTTGCTCTTTTGACAGGATGAACCATTCAAAACCACTCCATATCAAACAGAAAACTGTCCTTCTAGAGAGGTATTTAAAAGAAAGAGATTCTGTCTTCTCGCCGGGACTCCCTCACTTGCCCTCCCCACAAAAAGAGGAATGACATCAAATGTGTGGTCTTATACTGTATCTTAGAAAAGAGTGATTTGTAGCCCAGTCTCTTTTGGGACCTGTCTGTATGAAAAGCTAACAACTGTTCCATCTGCTTTCTGTTTCCATGCTTTTCTTCAATCTCAATGCTTTTCTTTGAGCCCTCAAATATTATTTCAGCTGATTTTCTTAGCTGTCCAGGAGGACAAGACAGTGGTACACATTAGCTTGGAAAACCCACTATTACATAGTTTGTAAATATAAGAAAGAGAAAATAGGAAGGAAAGTATATTACTGTACCTATTTCATTAAACGTATAAGAAAAGACCATACCTGGGTATGGAAAATCTAGAAGATGAAAATGTGTATCTTGGATCCTGGCCTAAGACACAAGTGGTATTACCTTTAGCTGGATAAAATCATGGAAATATCCAGCTTCTTCATAAAGTGGCTGTTCCCAATGCACCATTTTGTTAGTTTCAAAAATTACACCTTATATAAAAATATACTTTTAAAAAAATACAAGAAGGGGAGTTTTCTGCAGGAAAACCTATGTTATGAACATATCACTATACCTGGCATGTATGGGCCTTCAAAGACTGCTAACTATCCCCTAGTATCCATTCTATCCTTCTTACTTTTAAAAAGAGAAGTCCCTACATTTTAGATGGACTCATAGCTGCTCCAATGGAGATGCCATGCCTCTGGTGTTAGGCATGGCCATATGAGTAAGTTCTCACCATTTGGATAATGCCAGTAACTGTTTAAGCTCAGTCACCTTCTTAAAATTATTTTTCTTTGCCATTGTATGACTGTTACAAGGACATGGAGGTAAGTCAGCTTCCACATCAGAAATGCCTAGCCTGAGTATCTCAATTCCTTCTCTTGCAAACATTTTCTTCATTTGGCTTCTAGAATATCTACCATTGATACTCCTGTTTTTCTTCTCCTGATTTCCTGCTTATTCTCACTTTTTTGCTGATTCTTCTCACTGTCTTATCACTGAAACTACCTAAGGCTCCATCACCCCTTCTTCTTTTTTATTTATCATCATTTCCTTGGTGGCACCATCCAATTTCATGGCCTTGTATGCAGAGGATCTTCACAGTTATAACTCTAGCCTGATTTCTCCATTGAACCCCAGATTCATACATTCAACTACCAATTCAAATGTCTCCATCTGGACATAACTCAGTTTTGACACTGTCTAAAGAAAATTCCTTACCTCCTGCCAAAAACCCATTTTACTCACAGTCTTCCCCATCTCAGTTAATAATTAGTCCATTCTTCCAGGCTTAAGCCAGAACTGTGGAGACATCTTGGACTCCTACACAACACTTACAATCTGCCAGCAACTCCTGTTGCTTCTGTTTAATAACAAGAATCACACTTCTCACCACCTCCAGTGTTACTTGGTGGCAACTACATAATCTCCCATCAGGATTATTTCCAGGGCCACCTCAGTCCCTTCCTCCCTCAAATTTCTAAACACTGCAGCCAAAGCAATCCTTTTCTGCTGAAAATCCTCCAAAAGTGTCAAAGGTTTCACAATCATCTGTGAAGACTAATAGCATATGTCCTCCTGTTTGCTGACCTCATCTCCCTCTAGTTGAGCTCCCTCTTATTCCATTTAAGTGACAATATCTATTTCTCCCAAGAACAGGATTTACATGTTACCGTCTTGGAGCATCAACATTAGCTGTTTTCTGCCTGGAAAGTCTCTTCCTTCCGAAATCCACAAGACTCATTCCTTACTTCATTTCCTCAAATGATACCTTTTCAGTGAGTTGTTCCCTTAAACAACCCTATTCAAAAAAGTGTAATACTTCACAACACACACACACACACACACACACACACACACACACACACACGCACACGGCACTCCCTGTCTCCTTCTCTGTATTTTTCCATACAGGTTTATTTTGAGTGAATTATTTACATATTTTTCAGATTATTGGCTGAGACTCCACAGTACAACATAAGTTCCAATAAGAATTTATGTGTTTATGGTCCGAAAGGATACATGCACCCCAATGTTCATTGCAGCACTGTTTATAACAGCCAAGACATGGAAGCAACCTAAACATCCACTGACAGAGGAATGGATAAAGAAGATGTGGTACAATGGAATATTACTTAACCATTAGTAAGAATGAAATAATGCCATTTGCAACAACATGGATGGACCTACAGACTATCATTCTGAGTGAAGTCAAAGAAGAAGAAATGTTGTATTACAACCCTTAAATGTGGACTCTAAAAGGAAATGATACAAATGAACTTTTTTATAAAATAGAAACAGACTCACAGACTTAGAGAATGAATGTATGGCTGCCAGGAGGGAAGAGAAGGAGGAAGGGATAGTTAGGTAATTTGGGATGGACATGTATACAGTGCTATATTTAAAATTCATGGCAACAAGGACATACTGTACAGCCCAGGGAACCCTGCTCAATGGCATGTGGCAGCCTGGATGGGAGGGAGAATGGATACACACGTGGGTATGACTGAGTCCCTTTGCTGTCCACTTGAAACTATCACAACTTTGTTAATTGGCTGTATTCCAATACAAAATAAAAAGGTTAAAAAAAGAATTTATGTGCTTTGTTTTTGATGAGTTACCAATAATGCCAAGCATGTAGCAGACTCTCAGTTAATGTTTGCTGAATAAATGAATGAACAAGTGATTGAATCAGATGCAGCTCAGGAGATGGAGAACATCTCACTGAAAGAAATCTGGATCTCTGGGTAACTTCATAGAGCAAAGCTATCTGTCAGCATTGGGCTTCTCATGTCTAGCCTGTTTTGAGAGAAATAAAACTTTCTATATCGTTCAAGCCATTTATGTTGTATACTAGTATATACTGAAACACTGGCATTCAATAAATCTTTCTTTTTTCTCATTTTCTTAGTTCTGTCAAAGACATCAGTTTCCTCAGCTATAAATTAAGTGTTTGGACTAGGCAATTTCTACGTTTCTTTTCAGTTCAGCTCAGTCATTCAGTCGTGTCTGACTCTTTGTGAGCCCATGAACCGCAGCATGCCAGGCCTCCCTGTCCATCACCAACTCCTGGAGTCCACCCAAACTCATGTCAGTTGAGTCGGTGATGCCTTCCAACCATCTCATTCTCTGTCTTCCCCTTCTCCTCTTGCCCTCAATCTTTCCCAGCATAAGGATCTTTTCAAATGAGTCAGCTCTTTGCATCAGGTGGCCAAAGAATTGGGGTTTCAGCTTCAACATCAGTCCTTCCAATGAACACCCAGGACTGATCTCCTTTAGGATGGACTGGTTGGATCTCCTTGCAGTTCAAGGGACTCTCAAGGGTCTTCTCCAACACCACAGTTCAAAAGCATCAATTCTTCAGTGCTCAGCTTTCTTTTTAGTCCAACTGTCACATCCATACAAGACTACTGGAAAAACCATAGCCTTGACTAGACAGACCTTTGTTGACAAAGTGATGTCTCTGCTTTTTAATATGCTGTCTAGGTTGGTCATAACTTTCCTTCCAAGGAATAACCATCTTTTAATTTCATGACTGCAATCACCATCTGCAGTGATTTTAGAGCCCCCAAAAATAAAGTCAGCCACTGTTTCCACCGTTTCCCCATCTATTTGCCATGAATTGATGGGATTGGATGCCATGATCTTAGTTTTCTGAATGTTGAGTTTTAAGCCAACTTTTTCACTCTCCTCTTTCACTTTCATCAAGAGGCTCTTTAGTTCTTTTAAGCTTTCAAATTTCACATCATCAGTGTCCATAACAGACACCAAAAGAAATAGAACCCAAGTAAGGCAATGAAGAAAAACTATCTATATAATCTAGACAGATATGTGGGGTTGAAAAAAATGCTAAGAATAATTACTTTCTGAAATTAACAAAATCTTACCATATTTAATGGAGTAAATAAAAAATGAACCAAATCTGCAGCACTAGGATTCTGGATGTGAGATTTCAATTTGGCCTGTAAGATTAAAAAAGCAGGCAAACACATTACTACAATGTAATCAGGCCAAAGACAGACATTCAAAAAGGTTCAACACAGACTCAGAAGAGGTTTTGCTACTAGCTTCACCTTCGGAATCTTAATTAGTAAGCACTGAATTAGATTAGGAGAATTTCATTTTAAAAATTAGAGTCATCCTTTTTTGATCAAGTCTCTTAGATGTATAAGTTTTACAATCTGCTATTCTAATTAAAGGCAAATAAAAACACACACACAAAAATCTACAATAACAGTTTAATCTCTTAATTTGATCAGGTACATCCTGGCTAGACTCTGATCTCTTCCGTTTGTTGCTTCTAATCGTACATAAATAAATTTCACTTACCAGAAGGTTAAATCCATGTTTAAACTTTTGGAAACAGTCCACAAATGCATCAGGAGGTGGAGGTTTTGCCCGCAGTGTTAAAACACCCTCTAAAGAATGAAATAGGAGAAGGGGGTAGATGAGAGCAAAGTTCCAAGAAAACTTATTCAATGAAAAGAAAACACATTTCTGTTTGTAACGTTTGCTGATCACATCAGATATCATGCTACCTAGTTACCTTCCCATTTCTCACAGACTGACTGTAACAAATTAAGATGACCCAGCCTTTGAAATGGATTCCTATACCCTTAGGCACTACCAGATTACTCATCAGGTTCCATAAATTTATACTGCAGCCCTTCTACATGCTAATCACTGTGTTTATCACCGTGAAGACTATAAAAATGCCTAAGTTGTGTAAGTTACACATCCTAGTCCTAAGGCCCTAAAAATCTGTAGACGATATGAATCAGATAAGTAATAGAGATGTGTCAACTGAGGCTACAAAGAGACTACAGATGAGTAAATGTGTACTTAGGGATGTGTCCTGGGAAAAGCAGTTTTTAGATGGGATTTGAAAAGTTTGTTCCAGGGCAGTTTGGTAAGAAAAACATCATGGTTGAATAAAAGCAGCATTAGCAAAAACATGGAAAAAGGAAATAGTCTGTACATGAAACAACAAACAGAAAAGCAAAGACACACAAGAATGGAAAAATAGATCAAGGTGTGACTGTGAATGACCTTGACTGCCAGGGCGAGGAGTTTGACTCACATAAAGCAATAGAACATGGGATTAACAAGCTTTTCAGCCGAAAAAATGAAGTAACTGCCTTACAGCTTTAAGAAGAATGTCCTCACAAAACGGAAGACTAGAGGCTTGAAGGTTACTTAGAAAGCTGGGTAAAAAATGAGGTACCGTGAAGCAGCTGCTAGATAGGAAACTGAAAAGGGAAAAAAACTTTATACAAGAGAGGCTGAAAAAATAAAATCAATGCTGGTTATCAACTAGAGAAGGGACTCACAAAAAAATCTATGGTTCTGAATCTGGATGACCAAGAAGACGGCACACCCTTTGTAAGCAGTACAAGAGCAGCAAGCACATCAGAAAGCAGTAATGCTGAGTTTCAGAATATATGAGGTAAAGTGTATCCACATATACACTTCTAGAAGACAGGCCTACTGTCATATGCTTATGATGTAGACAGAGCCAGAGTAAGATGTGGAAGTCATGTGTAATGAAAAGAACATTTACTCTTCTCCCATATATTTCAATCTATACCATTTTGTTACAAAATTATAATTTTATATACCTAGAGGTCATTTTAAATAACTGAACTGCAGCATATGTAAAAACTGCTTGAAGGTGACCTGAACATACTGTTTGGAGTTTTGTGATTAAAAAATTAAAATCCACTGACATTTTTAACTATTTTAATGAGAAGAGTCAATTCTTTAATTTAACAAAGTAACAAGGTTCTATATTTGTAGTAAAATAAATTTAAATATGAGAAGAATGGTGCTATGACTTTCTTTAACAGACATTATCTTTACAATGACTAACAAAAACTATAAACAGATGGCCACTATTGAATGAGTCTCTAATTAATTTAGGAAGAATGTCTTAGAGTCTTTCTTTACTGTAGCCAAATTGGGACCAAAGATGCTATTCCCCAGGTTTATTGTACTCTCCGCCTACATCACTGGTTCTCCCAAGACCAGAAAAGGGACCTTGGTCTCTGGTCAATGAGTCCTGTTTAACAACTCTGAAGTGCCAGCTCTGCCTAGCACTGGCATTCTGAATGGTTCTTTAGAAGGTTAAGAAAATCCAACTTACCTCCTGGTCCTTTCTTTTTGCCTTTCTTAGCTTTCTTCCTTTTAGAAAGTTCAGTAAATGCTTCAGCTGCTTTTTGGAGTTTTGTGATAAAAAATTCAATGTCATCCAAAATGTGGTTTAAGATTTGCTGAAATTAGAAATTACAGAATAAACTATAAAGCAGAAGAAAACTATTTTTGCCTTAGCTTTACACTGTGAAGGAAGATGAAAAAGTTTAAAAGAAAGAAAGAAAGAAAAGAAAAAGGAACACTTCCCACATATAAATTTCAAGTTTATCACTAATTCTAAGACAAAGTATTCAACTAAGTATACCTGTGGCTAAAGTCTAACATTTACATTTTTATTTAGTTTTATAATATTCTATTTTCAATATCATAAAGAAAACATTCAGAATATATATTCAGATTATTAACTATTTTCAATTACTCTAATTTCCTCATTGTGTTCTTCCCGAAAAAGTTGGGGGGGGGGGAGAATTCCAAGAAAACAGTTTGTTGGAATAGCACTAGCATTCCAGTTTTTCTAATAAATTTCCTAATAAAGCAATGACAATATTATTTTTCAGGACTAAGGGTATACAGAATGTTGTGATAACCTAACACACACATTGATAATCTGTAATAACAGGCATTAATAAGAGTTTCTACAGGGTAAAGCAGAATTAATGTTGCACTATGCTTTCACAGATCATGGGATCAACTTCAATTATACTATATATTATATTAATATATACTGAATATTATACATATAATAGTCTTTCTTGACTTCCTTTTATGTGTGAAACTTGACATTCTTTTAAAGACTGAAAACTGAGATTAAATAAGCTTTTGAGTATTAAATAAACCTTTAAGTGTTAACAAGTAGCACTGTTATATAAAAACTAAATTTCAAACTCTAAAGTCCTTTAAGTATTTGTTTCCAAATAAGCTCAGAACATAAGTAGAGTATAAAAAGCAATTATACTGACATCATATTTTATAATTATGTCATAGGGCAGTGTCATTTTGTCAGGAAATTACTATAGAGAAATCAAAATCAATATAGCCTTATCTTTTATAAAGTATTAAAATATACTTACCTACCCTTAAGAAATGCCACATAACTTCTATCTTTCAGGCATTATAAAACATTTTAGAATAAATTCCAGGAAGACAAATTAAAAAGATATTTTAATTATAGATTACAAACCACAAGAAAAGAAGAATCCCTCAAATCTTGACAATTCAGCTTAAATTCCTTTGTAAACCAGTTAATATTCTAGCTGTATCACAGCCATAGTCTACTAGTTAAATATTGGCATAAAGGCAAAAATTGTTAAGAAAAAAAATAATTCAAAGATCATAGCCACCACTGAAAAGAGAAAATATAGTTTTCACAAAGTGTCTTTATTTAAATCAACTTAACTTTCCCTGTTAATATTTCTTCTCTAAAAAAAAGAAAAAGCCAATGATCTAATGATGACTATTTCACTTACCACATCTCTGTCAATGCGGGCTGCCATCATCTCAGGTGTTTCTTCCTGCTGGTAATAATTTCTCTGTTTCTCAACTAAAGAAAAGAAAATCATACATCTTTCAACCTGTTGCTTAAGTGATACCAATATAAATAACCAGACATGCAAACTGTCTAGAAAAGAGTGTCACTGGCAAAAGTAAACACTTGCGCTGGATACAAAAATCAAAGTTGTGCTCATCACCTCTGGCCTGCACCCTCACCACTAGCATCTCTGACACGTATCCTCACCACCATCATCTCTGACACTCATTCCCACCACCACACTTGACACAGAAGTACCAGCCTTTCACCTGCATGGTATTGATTTACCCTGTAACTTCCCGTCTATTTTCTCTCTTCCAACGTCAGATGCCTGTGGAACCAACCCTAACTTAGTACCCTTTAATTCCTACAGAAGAAAAAATATACACATTTTTAAGCACCTATTTCTTAAAAGGGGGCAACTAAGTTCTAAGTTTTAAAGCTCCTCATTCTCATACTTTCTAACATCATGATAATAGTAAAGCTTTGGGTCTTGTGATAGTAAAGGGCTTCTAATATTCCAGTTGTAATTAAGCTTAAAGCCCACAATGTTGGGCTCATTCTCATTGGAAGCTATATGCTTTAACAGCAGAAATACCTACAAGAATTTGCAAATTGAAGACAAAAGTCTCAAGATATTATGTTAGCTCAACTGGCTAGGGCATGATGTTAATCAGTATCATTATCTGAACTCCTTCCAGCTACAAGACTATTAACACTTTCAGTTAACACAGGTACTCATTCCAAGATTTCTCAGTAGATGAAACGAAAGGAAAAGGGATGGATGGGACAGGAGAACTGCATCATTACTAAATGGAAACACAACTCATGATGGATCCTCACGGCTCATCATGTTCAATACAGAGAACTTCAAAAAATACTGCAAACTGCTATGCCTCCTCTATGTCTGACTTTACCCTTAGATGGAATATTCACCAAAAAAGAAAAAAAAATGACTGAGTCTTATGAAACTTAATCAGTACAATTTTCATATATGAAATCTAGCCAGTTAGCTGTTGTTTCTACATGTGGTTGGCTGCTATCTTGGTTATAGGTATACCAGGCAGCAGTTAAGTTGAAGCTGAAATATAGGTATTAGGAACTCTACTAGGTCCCAAAATATCATTTGGAGGACACAGTGAGGGATATGTAGTATTTCTCAGAGTTTTTCATATTCTGAGGCACTACTAGGAATGCACTGCAATTGCCACTATTCTACAGAGATCTCTTCTGGAATCAGGGTAGAGCTATGGCTGCATCCGTGCCTGCATGCTCAGTCGTGTCTGACTCTTTGGGGCCTGTGGACCGTAACCTGCCAGGCTCCCCTGTCCATGGGATTCTCCAGGCAAGAATACTGGTGTGGGTTGCTGTTTGCTCCTCCAGGAGATCTTCCAGACCCAGGAATCAAACCCAGGTCTCCTGCACTGGCAGGCAGATTCTCTACCACTGTGCCACCTGGGAAGCCCCAAGAGCTTTGCCAAGGATCCAAAGAAGGAGTCATCCAACCTAAGTCAGCTGGAGCCTTCAGGTGGAGCAGAGACACTCCTCTTAGAGGGCTTTCAACTACAAAGTGGCCTGGGTCCAGGCAGAACCTCACATGGTAAGCGGTGTGTTCTGTTTGACCTAGTAGTAAACTAGAAGCTCCGAAAAGCTTTTCTAGCTGTAACTTAATAGACGAGACTGTACAGAGTACTTTGGACAACATCTAAGGAGGGACTTCCCTGGTGGCTCAGACTGTGAAGAGTCTGCCTGCAACGCAGGAGACTGGGACTCGATCCCCGGGTTAGGAAGATCCCCCGGAGAAGGGAAAGGCTATCCACGCAGGTATTCTTGCCAGGGGAATCCCACAGAGAGAGGAGCCTGGTGGGCTACAGTCCCTGGGGTCACAGAGTCGGACATGACTGAGTAACACACACAATGAGGGCTCAGAAATTCCTGGGAATAGATTTTTGTTGTTGTGAATTATAGGTTGATGGAGGTCTTTATAGGTTTATTCAGAACGTCTAAAAAACTTAAGATGTCTTATCCTTCCTCAACTTCAAGGAAGACCATTTTGACCTCTCTCAAAATAAAACCCACATCTTTACCAAAAGAGTAACAATAGCAAAAATGCTCTAAGTACACAAGAAGTAGAAAACACTATAAAATTCCACTAAGCATTTTAAATACAAAGTGGAAATGTATATAAAGTGTTATAAAGTTACAGTAACTAATAATTATGCTACTTTATTTTTGAAAAATGGATGTTTCAAAGAGTTCTTTCTTTCATCTGTTTGGTAGCTGGGCTTATATATAAACTGAAAATAGCTTTAAGGACACAAGAGTCTAAATAAATGGAAAGTGATTAATAAAATGAACTCAATTTGGCAAGAATGACTACCTACTCTACTGTTCCAGGCACTATCATATACATTATTCCCTTTCAGAGTCACAGAAACATATGAGCTTAACTCATTCCCATTCTGCAAGTAAGGCATAACGTTTAAGGTCACACAGGTAGATCTTGGGCTTGCCCCAGAGCCTAAATTTTGATTCACCAGACTCAAAGGACAGTCCAGTATCACTCATTTTGTCAATTAAGTTTTTTGATTTAACTACACTGCTAGATATTCTTATGAATGATGCTTTACTAGTTGAAGAGTAAGTGATTTAAGTAGTCACACTGAAAGTGAAAATGAAGTCGCTCAGTCATGTCCGACTCTTTGTGACCCCATGGACTGTAGCCTACCAGGCTCCTCAGTCCCTGGGATTTTCCAGGCAAGAATACTAGGAGGTAAAAGAATTGACGCTATGGTCTCCCATCAAATTCAAACTCACCAGATCACAATTTATTTACCCTTAAAATCAAGAGACTGGACTAAACATATGTGAAGGCATTTTCCAATTATAAAAATTTCAGACGTTGTGAAACATTCTGACATATAATATATTACACTATGCTTTTTGGTATGGTTATTTGCTTTAAAGAATATCAAGGCAAAATGACAGTACAGACATAAGACCCACTGGGTAAATTTACATGATGGTGAATGCTATTTAGCCCTTTTCCACCTCCCTATCCCCTGTCCTGACATCCTGCCCTTGTAAACATGAACAGTTTGTCCAAAAGAGGACAGTGGTAAGATAACAGTAATGGAAAGAACTTTGAGGTATCATTATTAAAAAATATTGATCTAAATTATATTAAATATTAAAATATTTAATTTATATTAAAATTATAGTATATCAAATATATAATATTAAATATAATATATTATACTAGGTATAATATATTAATTTAAATATATTTTATAATGTTAAGTATATTAAAATATTCTATTATCATTCTTTTAATTGTTAGTTGAGTCAAACTCCCTCTTTGAGTGCTTTAAAAAGAAAAGACTCTAACACTAGATTTATTAAAAGACTGGTCTTAACTCTTAGAGACAATAATCTTACAAAGCCCAAGGTTTAACTTTCATTTATGTAAGATGTATTTTTACAAAACTAACCTCAAGTTTCAGCTTAGAAATCAGCATCAGAGGCCGAAAGCAAGAACTGGGTCACAAGTCAAAGTAAATGTTCAATAAGTACCAATCCCCGGAAGTACTCACAGTCTCCTTGATCAGCTGCCAATGCGGACCAGGCTGCCACTCGACTCCTAACGTCCACCTGGGTCACAGTGCCAGGGGGGACGGGGGCAGGAGCTTTGGGTGGAGGTGGTATACCAGGATCTGCTTTGGAAATCATCCTGAAAACAGATGAAAACAAACTAAATTTTTACCATCTCTATTTCTATAATACATCAGTTCTCTCACTTTTAAGTATTAGTTTTTTAACCTCAAGAACTATGCCTTGGGGTACAAAACAAGGGTTTCTTAACCATTCCATGTTATGTATATTTATAAATGTATATGAAAAGTATAGTACATTTTCAGTTCAGCTGAAAACCAGGTTTAACGTTTTTGTCTGGGTCTCCTATGATTTACAAAGGGTGTTAACCAAACTAAAGTCCTAGTATCTATTTATATTCCCTTAGGCTATCTTCCCTTAAAATGCCACTCTTTTGTTCATGAGTCTCTAGGACAACAGAAGTGGGAGAAGCCATATCAGAGAAATATCAGAATTATGGAGAGAAAAGCCATGCGCACACACATACACACCAACAATCTTGGGAAAGCAAATGAGTTGAGATTACAGGCTGCAATCTGTAAAACATAATAATATACCTTTGCTGAAAATATTTTAATTTTTAAAGAAAAAAATGACTCAAATAAAAACCAATTCTAGCCCTTAATTTCTTTTAATGTTTTTACCTCAAGACATCAAGCCGCCTCTTCTGCTTTCCGCCTTTACTGTCACTGATTGCACTCTCAATATCTTCACTAATTAGGTTTGCCTGAAATGAAAGACAAGTTACCTGGGAGGTTATGGATTTCTTTATCTTGGTATGCAGGTTAAAACAGAAAGAGGGATTATGTTCGCTGTCCAAATCAATAAATGTCTTGATGCAAAAGAAAAGTGACTTTAAAAAAAATCTGCTTTTGAAACATGACACTTGTAGTTTTCTTCAGTGAACTTTGTAATGAAAGGATTTGCAAATGGAAGGAATTTTTAAAGATTATTTCATCCAGACTCCTTTAATTAAAAAAAAAAAGCTATACTTGTATGAAAGCAAAGAGAAAAGGGATTTGCATATGTTGAAAGTATAATCACATGCTGAAAATGTAACTGGGTTAATACCTCTGCCTGGGAAGAGGTGACGGAATCAAGTACCAGCATATGCAGCAGCATCCCTCCCCTCCCCCATCCTCACCATCCACTGGGCACCCATTAACCATGGACATACGTAACTCAGTTCCAGCAGAGTCACTCCCCCACTTTAAGGCAGCCCCAAGTCATCACTAGGTGGACCCCAACACTTGGCCACAACCCTTGTGATAACCCTTTTATTCTGTCATTTTAGGTTAATAAAATTTAGCTTTCTCCAAAGGAATGATGTTTCTGATACTCTTCCAACAAGAGCACTTGAATGTCTGATATGGTTTTCTTGGGAACCAACGTGAGATTAGCAGCTAAGAAGTTTAGTTTGATTCTGAAGTTTATTTATAGCCAGTGATTATTACTGTATATCACATTCTTACTGGGATATATTCATCTCCTATTTTATATCTGCTTGTTCTCTTTAATTATGTATGTTATCCTCAAATACACACACACACACACACTCACACACACATTGTTATTTAGTTGCTAAGTCGTGTCTGACTCTTTGCAGCCTCATGGACTGCAGGCTGCCAGGCTCCTCTGTCCATGGCATTTCCCAAACAAGAATACTGGAGTGGCTTGCCATTTCCTTCTCCAGGGGATCTTCCTGACCCAGGGATCAAACCTGTATCTCCTATATTGGCAGGAGGATTCTTTTACCATGGGGCCACCAGGGATGCTCCCATATACACACATACATACATAGTTATATATTATACTCTTTACCATAGGCACAGGTAATCATAAAATTTTAGAAGTGAGGTGACACTTAAAGATCATATAATCTGTTCTTGTTTTATAATTAGCAAAACTGAGGAATACTCATATGATGATTTGGCCTAGGTCACACAACTCTTAAATGAGAATGCTAACGTGTCCTAGTCCAGCTTCACTTGGGTAAGAACATCCTAGTTTTAGGAAGACACTACAAACATCATGCCAAAGGCTATTATGTGAGGAAATAAAATTGAAGATGTCTAGGAGTCCTGAGTTTCTTATGGGCAGGGTGTGGAGTTGGCTATCATATTTCCAAGAAAAAATTTATACTGAGGTGGGCAGGAGCATTGTATAATGATAAAGAAAGGTTAAAACTCAAAAGGGAAATTGCAAGATGACCCATACAAAAGAAACTACATATATCATTGCATTTATATTTCTAATGGGGCAAGGAAAAAAATCCATCCCAAATGTGGAATATGGCACCAGTGAGTACATGCATAGAGCTGTGTGGTGGTACTTGAGCTTTTAAGCAGGACAAAACAGCATTCAGTAAATCTGTTTTGGACCCATCAATATCATAGTGCCTCAACAAATAAAGTAAGCCCTTTATCCTCAAAACTGGAATCCAGAAACTTCACTCAGTCCAATAACAGTTTCCAGGGAGAGATTTTCAAGCACTGAGACATATAGCAGATTTAAAATGTCTTTAAGCATAGCTCTCTGTGTTTAAAATGTTTGAATTAAATTTCACTGTTTTCAGAGTCAAATATCCATCTTAATCCTTACTGATGTAACAAATCTAACCTTGCAAAAAAAATTCTTAACACGTTTTATGACTTTACAAAGGCAACATATGAGAAGTCGGATGAACTTATACAAATTATCTATTGCCACAATTCTTTCCAAGTAAGATTTTTAGAAAGTCATTTATGACATAAATTGAAATAAAAAGAAAATTATAAAATATCCTATTTATAGTCAATTTTAATTTACCTATCAAATTTTAATGTCAAAGAATTACAGAATAGATCAAATGACACTTTATGCTAATCTCCCAACATTTCTTTATAAGAAAAAGAATGCCTGTATATATTACATACAATCAAGAGGTAAATCACTGTCTTGGCAAAGCAAAAATCAACTCAATTAAAAACAATTTCCCTTTTAGAGAAATCAACTCATGAAATAAAGATTCAAGGTTTCAGATAAATTCTAATGTCCAATAAAGCATCACAAATTATAATCATTTGAAAATTACAGTGTACTTTGAAATATAAATCTTCAGGATATGGCATATTATTACCAGTAACTATGCTCAACTCTTTTCACATTATGACTTGGGGATTACATAACTTGAACAATTATTCAAGTCACATAATTGAACAGTAACCCTTAAATCAGTACCATGGAAAATGTCCAAGTGTTTCATTGCAATAACCCATGCTACGTGATTGGTGCCAGAATAAAACAGCATAAAACAGAAAAAAACAGATGACATGGTTATTGTCTGTGAAGCATGATTTTTGAAGAATCAATCTTTAATTATAAGTCCAAGTCCCTCAGTGAAGAATTTAATGTATTATCTGCACAATTTTTAAATAAACAGAATGCATCTGATTTTTAAACAACATTCAATCTTCTCTTTATTTACTTAGCCTAAACACCCTAGGGTAGGTACTGAGGTGTTTTCCTTACAAAACTGTAAGAAACTAAAAATCTAGTACCTAGTAGCCATATGATTGAAGGAGGTAATCAAAAGCTAGAACATCTGCTTAAAGAGAGAGAAAATTCACCAGTCTTTTACCTTAATCTCATCGCACTGGAAAAGATGAAGGTCTGGCTTGCTCTGGGTTGGCTCTTTGCACACCAGGGCAAGAATCGAATCATAGCTACAGGAGTGCATCACAGCTTGGCAATGCTGAATGGTGTTCAAAGGAAAATTCTCCAATTCATTCTAAAAAGCAAAAATACAACTTGCCTTACTTTTCATTGGATATATAACACCTACTCCACAAAGAGCTCTAGGCATCATACCAATAATTTTTAAAGTATGCAAACCACATTGACAACACCAATTGAACACTATTAAACAGAAAATATGGAGGATGAGTATGTATAAGGAGACAGCAAAGACACCATCCTGGGCTAAAGGAGGAGTGAGAGAAAGAGAAAAAAGATGGAAATATTTAATAAAGAAACATGGTTCTGTTCTTAATAAACAGAAGAAAACCTGAAATTAGCACTACTGATTTCCTAAGATTATGGGATAGAGAGGATGCCTTTGAGAAAAAGGTAAACTGATGCCTCTTTCCAAAGTTATTCTCCATCTTACCTGCTATTCTTCTCCCTGTGGCTCTATAATATCAAGGTTTTGCTATGTTTTGTTTTTACTTGAATATTATAGTCATACTCTTAGTTTTTATCTTCAGTAATCACAAATGTTAAGCTAAGAATAATACATCATTTGTACACCTTTTATTTCAGTGAATCTCTTGGATGGAAAAATTCACTGTATAAGTTTTTCCAACCAAAAATGTCAAACATCAGGGTTAGAAGAATCTTGCTAAAACATACATTCTTTGAAATGATTAAGCTATTTGGTCATATGAAATTGAATATTCTCTAACCAATAAAAAGACATGTCGATTAGACCTTGATAGATCAAATAATTACTTCTGAAACAAATGAATTTTCTGTTCATAATAATAATGAATTCTTTGTTAATGAGATACATTTAAGGTGGTTATCCTAACATGAATGGCCTTACACAAATAGCAAGCAGTGTCATGATGTAATTGATGGAAGAAATGGTAGTTTTTTGAAAGTAAACAAAATCCAATATCCCTGATAACTGGAACATAAAAAAAACAACTTTTATTACAGATAGCACATATATATAGACATCACATTTTTTCATTGGATATATAAATTAGAAAAATTTATTCTAAGCCCTCATTCCTTGGGGCCCAGAAAATGTGAAACAAAAAAATGCAGATTCCATTAAAACAGAATGTAATTTCTAAGCCACACCAGGGAGATAGCAATTTTCTTTCAAAATAAATTAAATAATATCCCTTCTCTATAACTACTTGAAACTAGGAGGATTAGAGAAGCTCCCAGGTATTAGTCTGTCACAGAATGCAATGGATGAGATGAAAGAAAAGGCAAATTTTACATCCTACTCCTATCAGAATACTTTAACATGATTACAAAACTTGTTTTCTTTATCTTAGCAACTCAAATGCCTACTAGGCGGTGGGGCTCAGAAAAGGCCTTTTTTAAGAGCTCCAGCATCTTACCTGACTACCTATGTGAAAGAAAGGTACCCGGTGTTGACCTGGTGAAAGTTGAGACACATACACACAAACTCCTTCATCCCAATTCACTCACTGGGGTTCAAACCACAACACTTGGATATGGCTTGGCCTAGGATATAATTAACATATGTCTTAAAGAATAGTGCCCTATAGGGGCTTTAGTTTAGCACTACGTATTTTTTCCTCACTTCTTCCATCTCATCATATATGGTTAAAGAAACATTGTATCCCTCTATTTCTAGTTTAAAAACATGATTTTGCATGCATAAAGTATATGGAGAAGGACATTTTCCCTTCAAATTCACTGACAAGAGTATTTTATGGTGTCAAATATTTACCCATTTTCAAATAATGTGAGCTAACACAAACATAAATATTTTTAGACTTTCTTGAAAATAAAATAGCATATGTTTTTCAAACTTGCCTTTGATTCTAAATCAATCAGGCTCACAGCTTTCTCATCCACCTGAAGAATCATATCTTGAGTCCATACTTTGCCCTTGGCATCGAGCAATTTCAGCTTCCTTATTCCATCATCAACAGTTATCATAGCATCTTTCCGATCCAGAACAAAGGTGGTCAAGTGCTTATGATTGAGAAAAGAAAAAACATAACACACACAGCCTCTTAGTAAACATTTTCTCCCCAAAATTGTAAAGTTAACCTAACTGAAGTCAGCTAGTAGAGAGGAAAGACAAAGATTGGGTTGGTCAAAAAATTCATTCAGGATTTTCACACCTCTTACCTGAAAACCCAAAAGAACTTTTTCACCAACCCAATACAAAGTACTTTAGAACTTCAAGGGACCCTTACTGGGATAATAAAGTCAAAACAGTTTTTTGATAAATAGAGGAAATGATGCCTTGAATCATAAAATACCTAAATCTGTTTAATACTGAGCCTTGTTGAACTAGACAAACATGAGAAAAACAAACTTTAAACAGCTTAAATAATATGCTCTTTATTTAATCTATTTTATTCCATCTTGGTTATTTAGATGTTGAACAACAGAAGGCAGTCTACAAACCAGCCTGAAAACTATAGATACTGGTAGCTGAGAGCAGCAACAGCAATTCTAGTTTGCAACAAGTGTCAAATTATTCACTCCACTGAAACAAAACTTTAAATTTCATTAAGCATGCTTGAGGAAATAGAAACCTAAAAACAGGAGCAATTTAAAAATTATTCCCTAATTCAATATTTTCTATTATAATAAGCAAAGTTCACCCAAATAGATCCCAATTAAGAGCAAGTATCTTAAAAGACAGCAACAGAGGGAAAATTAAAAAAAAAAAGAGAGAGACCACTGTTTAAACAGAACTTGTAATAACTTTAGACAAAACCATCAAGGCTTATTTCAAGAAGATTCCATAATACATAATAGAAGTCTTTGTTCTGTTTTTAACCAAAAAAAGGCTGATAACGATAAATGAGTAGTTATTTTAATTTATTCTCCATGAAAACAGATTAACTAGATACTTTCATATTTAACATCTGTTTTTAAAAAATCTAAAGGAAAAATTTCAACCCAATTTACAACATCATAGACATGAAATAAAACATCACTCTGATTTTACTACCAATTTTTATGTCCCTCAAGCTTCATTCTACACTGTGGCAAACATCAAAGTATCTTACCTCAACTCGGTATTGGGATATATCTGACACGCTACTGACACTGTCCCGTGCATAATTCTTCCTTTGTTCTGGAAAAGAAGTTTAAAAAGTTGTTATTTACCCATGAATACGCTGAAGTTCATAGAGCAATGTCTCATGGCCATCTCTAAAACTAGTCTATCTCATATATAAGTACAGTAGTTGACAAGTCACTATTGTGTGATTATCTGAAAATAGTCATTATTCATATTCAATGAAAAAGTCATGCAAAAGCTTACATGAAATTCAGAAATGATCTGACCAACATAAATGATCATAATCCCAAAAGTTAACAAGATTATTCACGTATAAGGAAAAAAGTTATTTCATCTAAAGATGTTATTAATCAGGGATGTCCTCTTGACCAGAATAGAGAAAAATCTGGCTTGTAAATTTCATCTTTTAATGCACTGAGAACAAAATGGAACTGCAAATACTGTCACGGATACTGTATTATATGAGTTAGACTATATTATTAAAATAATAATGCAAGGCACACGTTTCACCATATCCACACTAGGGAGCGGGTTAGAGGAGATTCAAAACATGATTCAATCACACTCAATGCCATTTAACTCTAATAATATTCACACATATACAGAACACAAATGTGATACTCAGAATTGTAGGTATAAGCTATTAGAAAAAAATAAGAAAGTTAGGTAGAAAGTTACTGCACCAACTATATAAAAAGCAAAAAGCAACCTGTCTTTCTTTTTTTGCAAAATGCTGCAAAACCAAAATAAAATATGTAACGGCAATATTTTGTACTTGTTGCTTTCTAATCAAGCAACTTGATCGTTTGTAAATTTGGGGTTGCCCAATTTTTTTTCCTATGGTGAAAAAAAACTTTAAGTGGGAAGCAGAAAAGTTTGGATTATCACTTTTGTCTCTTGTCACTAAGTAGGAGACTGATTTTGGCCAAAATCTGCATTTCAGCAACCTTATTGTAAATACAAGGGTTAAATAAGCTCAAGTTTCAAGATTCCTACAGCACTAAAATTTATTCTCTCTCTCTCGGCCTCTGTCTCTACCTCTCTCACATAAACACACCTTAGCTTTCCTAATAACCATGTTTTTATCCAAATATAAGCCTGCTTGTTTCAGGTAATGTAGAAATTTTCTGATTTTGCTAAAACAGAAGTTGAAAAGTTCTGCTGAACATAAAAGCAAAGTACAAAAATACTAACTCAGAAAGTTAATACATAGGATTTTTTAAAACGGTAACTTTTAGTTTTACAACACCTATGAAAGTTACAACTTTTCATTTTTCTTAAAGCCTTAGGTGAGAATATAAATATGCCTTTTATTACATTACTCTGATATTATTCCAATACATTGTTTTTGCTTTTGCAGCATGAAAGTTATTTACTAATAACAGGCACTCTATAACATTCAGCATCTGCTACCTTTCTTTTTTTGTTTAGATGATGATCTGAAGAAGTATGATCCATCTGGTCCTACCAAAACAATGTCACCGAAAAGAAACATCTGATTTCACCTTAAATTTTCTATTCCAGTATGACAAAATATAAACCTTAATTTACACCTTTTTAAGAGTACACAACCATAATTTTTCTGATTATCAGCCAAGGATTAATCAATGTGAAATATGAACAAATGGATACTTGATAATAACTCTTAACCCATGATAACGCTTAAAAGGTCAATATTTAATTCAGGGGCACATCTGAGAAAAGCACTGTTAGAAAGAATCAGTATTTCAGAATCCCCGGTTCCTCATATTCTAACACAATTCTCCAGGCCCAACTCAAAACACGAGGGCAGTTCTGTTTCCTTTTGTCTGGCCTCAGGACCATAAATGAAATGGCAGCGGTTGCCATGGTCTCCAATATTGACATGGCAACCCTGGGATGTTCAAATTCTTGACTGAGTTTTTCAGTTAAGTGAATGGCAAACACAGTTGAAGATAAAAACTATTAGATGTTTTGTAATTAAATATTCTCATTACGAGACAATAAAACTTTGTTCCCCCAAATTTCCTAACACATAGTTTCTCAAACCTACAGAAAAATACTTTACAAAAGTAGAAAACACTGTTTGATAGCATTCATAAACAGTATGATGTTAACTGATAGATAAGGTACCATTTCTAATATTCTAAATTACAGATCCATTGTCGGAATTCCTAAGCTCTTTCTCTCCAGTGTTATACAATAAATAAGATGTATGTGTTACAAGAAATCACCTTTTAAAAATCCTAAATGCAAATGCCATAAAATGGATTTATAAATAAACTAGTAGTTTCAGTGATTTAAATCAATGAATAAAAGTTACTATGAACATTTTAATAGGAAATTTTGAAATAAAGCTCCTAAAAGGCAATTAGAGTAACATTTGTTTTTTAAGAAAATCATATGTACTCTCAAGTATAGCTGTAAATAGTAATTATGCTCCTAAGCCTGAAATATCTCACCCAGAGCTCTAAAACAGCATGGAAAGCCTCAATAAAGTTACCATGATACTTAAGATAAAGTCTCTATTGAGGTTCATCACTTCTCTAAGAAATGGTTCTCAACCTTGGCTGCACATTAGAAAATGAACTTTAAAAAACACTGCACGCCCTCCCCCACCCACACTGCATAGCCAAGGATTCTAATGTAGTTGGTCTAGGATGCAGTCTGAGCACTGGGCTTTGTAAAAGCTCTCCAAGAAATTCTAATTTTTTTCATTCTAATTCCAAGTTTGGAAACTACTATTCCAAAATCAGTACAAAGGCCAACTCAACTACCACCTCCTAAGTTAAAAAAAATTTTTTTAGGCTAATTACTTTACAATATTTTATTGGTTTTGCCATGCATTGACTTCAATCCACCATGGGTGTACATGTGTTTCCCATCCTACCTCCCTCCCCATCCCATCCCTCTGGGTCATGCCAGTGCACCAGCCCCGAGCACCCTGTATCATGCATCGAATCTGGACTGGTGATCCATTTCAAATATGATAGTATACATGTTTCAATACCATTCTCCCAAACCATCCCACCCTCGCCCTCTCTCAGAGTCCAAAAGACTGTTCTACACATCTGTGTCTCTTTTGCTGTCTTGCATACAGGGTTATCGTTACCATCTTTCTAAGTTCCATATATATGCATTAGTATACTGTACTGGTGTTTTTCTTTCTGGCTTACTTCACTCTGTATAATAGGCTCCAGTTTCATCCACCTCATTAGAACTGATTCAAATGAATTCTTTTTAATGGCTGAGTAATATTCCATTGTGTATTTGTACCACAGCTTTCTTACCCATTCATCTGCTGATGGACATCTAGGTTGCTTCCGTGTCCTGGCTATTATAAACAGTGCTGCGATGAACACTGGGGTACCTGTGTCTCTTTCAATTCTGGTTTCCTCAGTGTGTGTGCTCAACAGTGGCAGTTGAAATTTTTTTCTTTCCAAATTAAGAGTGTAAGTCATGGTCAAATAGTCTCTCTCTCTGATACAATTAGAGTTAGAAACAAACTCTACTTGACTGTAGTGCCACTGATGGTGCTTCACTGTTTTTCCTGATGGCTTTATTCCATGGACCAGAATATACAAACCCGAAGGGATGGAATTAGGTGGGTTCAGTTAGCAAAGATGGACATTCTTTATGCATTATTTTAGTGTTATTGAGTTGATACAGTGCTGTGAAAACTGCTATTTTACTTCTGGACCAGGTACTTAAACTTAGGTTTCAGTGAACTTTGGATGATTATGATGTATCACTGTAGGTTCATCAGACCTAACAGGTTTATTCCCCTGAAGGTGGCTACTGACAGTGGAGGAAGCTAGGCTGTGGGGGTTTATGGAAAATCTTGGTACTCCTCGATTTTGCTGTGAACCTAAAACCCCCAAAAAGTCTTAATTAAAAAAAAAAATTTTCACTTAATTCTCCCATGAGTACAATGACCACTATACCAATACTCAGGTCTCAGCACTTAAACTTAATTCTCATTTGCTTATATTGCTATTTACATATAAGATAGCAAGATTTGAAACAGCTAATATTCAGAAAACTGTTATTTTCTCATTCTCTGAAAACAAAGTGCTGCTCAGAAAGTAAAGATTTGGTTATTAAAAAGAAAAAGTGTAACATAAAAGTGAAAGTGAAACTCAGTCATGTCCGACTCTTTGCAACCCCACGGACTATACACTCCGTGGAATTCTCTAGGCCAGAATACTGGAGTGGGCAGCCTTTCCCTTCTCCAGGGGGTCTTCCCAACCCAGGGATCAAACGCAGGTCTTCTGCATTGCAGGCGGATTCTTTACCAGCTGACCCACCAGGGAAGCCGAACATAAAAGTAGCTGCCAAGTATTCCTCTAAGTAAAACAATGGGTTATTGTTCATACTACTTTACACATAGAAACTTTCAGCCATAGGAAAGAAGAACTCCTTTTCCATTATTTTAGTGTTTAATTTCTGTACAGGAGAGGTGGCTTAGTGGGAATCAGTAAGAAGCAGTGAGTAATAATTACCAGCACCCATGATGTAGGCAACTATAAGCAAGATTGACAAATCAGTCTTTGAACAAGATCACTTTTTAAAAACAAACAAGGTCATTTTTACAAAAGCCACATTATTTAAGAATTCATTTTATTGCCTGGTCCAACAAGTTGTTAAAACAGCTCATCTCCCAAGGAGAAAAAAAGCTTTAAAACTTTCAGATAACATAGAAAATTTGCCAAATTGTCTTTTTGAGCCACACGCACTTGACATACTCTATGAAGCTGGATGTCGACTCTAACATTGCCCAACCTCCTGGTAATATAAGGTCAAGAGCCTTTTACTTATTACAGTTTTAAAAAATGCTTTTTCTTAAAATGTGTATTTTTTTCCAAGCAGATTACACCTTGTCAACAATGAGGATGGAAATAAGAGAAGTGGGTTTTAACCCTTCGGTGCCACCTGACTTTATAAGACCTCTCCTAGACTTCAAATGGGACAATTAAAGAGACTAATAATTCCAAATTAAGAACAGAAAGAAAAAGATAAGAACAAACCGAAAAATATGTGGGTCAATATCTATTAAGAGAAGTGGTATATTTGAG